GACTCATTTGCGAAGCTGGAAAGCAATCTAACGCTGTTGGGGGCAACAGGAATCGAAGATCGCCTACAGGATGGAGTGCCGGAGACGATAGCCTCGCTTCTCTCCGCGGGCATATCAGTTTGGGTTCTGACTGGTGACAAACCCGAAACGGCCATAAATATTGCCTACTCCGCTAAGCTATTTACCCAGCAAATGGAGCTCATAAGGCAAGTAAAGTTCTAAATAAAAGGATTTCCGCATTTTTTATATTCAAGTATCTAATTGGAAGTCCTGTATGGTTTTAGGTTAACAGCACGATCCCGCGATGCCGCTGAAACGGCCATAAATTTCTATCTGACTGATATGGAGAATGACAAGACGACATCCTCGTTGGGCTATGGTCAGCCGTTAAGAAGGAAACAGCGCGCATTGGTGGTGGATGGAAAGACCTTAACATTTATTCTAGATCCCAAGTGAGTTGTACACCAAGTGTGTCTCTATTCTCTTATTTATTTTCGTTACTCTGGCAGGTCCAAACTAATTATGCCTTTTCTGCGGCTGTCTAAGCGGTGCGCTTCGGTACTCTGCTGCCGATCCACTCCGCTGCAGAAGGCATACCTAGTCAAAGTGGTCAAGGAGGAGCTCAACCTGAGAACCCTAGCCATCGGGGATGGCGCCAACGATGTGTCCATGATCCAGATGGCAGATGTGGGCGTTGGAATCTCTGGTCAGGAAGGCATGCAGGCTGTCATGGCCGCCGATTTCACTCTGCCACGCTTTCGTTACTTGGAGCGCCTTCTCTTGGCGCACGGCTATTGGTGCTACGATCGATTGTCCCGCATGATTCTATACTTTTTCTACAAAAATGCTGTAAGTTTCATTGAATTGAAATTAAATAACTGGACCCAATATTCTTTAGGATCTTAATATATGAACGGCTAACTAACCTTTATGTTCTAACCTTTGTTCAGGCCTTTGTCTTTCTGATATTCTGGTACCAATTGTACTGCGGATTTTCGGGCCAAGTGATGATGGATCAGATGTACTTGATGCTGTATAATTTAATATTCACCTCGCTGCCGCCATTGGCCATTGGAGTGTACGACAAGCGTGTGGCCGAAGATCTCCTACTGAAAAATCCATATCTTTACAAAAATGTAAGTTGACATACTACTTATGTATATATAATGAGACCCATTCACATTTGTCAGTCATTCATTAAACCGGATGTTCGATTAATTATTATGAAACCCATTCCATTTCAGGGTCGACTGGGCGTAGCCTATAGACCGCACGACTTCTGGCTAATACTACTGGATGCCCTCTATCAGAGCCTGGTCATATTCTTCGTGGCGCTGTGCGCCTATGCGGAGAGCGATGTGGGAATCTGGGAGTTCGGTACGACGATAACCGCGTCCTGTCTTTTCGCCAACCTCGTGCACTGTGCCATTGAAATACGTTCCTGGGTGAGTTTGTTAATCAAGGTACATAAATTATCTGCTTACCTAACTTTCGTATATTCTTTTACAGACTGTGCTGCATGTCTTATCCATAGTGCTAAGTCTAGGTTCCTTCTACCTCTTTTCGATCGTCTACGATTCTGTGTGCATGAATTGCTTTGGAGTCCGGTCCTCATACTGGGTCATCTTTGTGTGCTTTGCCTCCGCTGTGCACTGGCTAGTGATAATGCTCTCCACAGTGGTGGCAGTTCTGCCACGGTTAGTATTGAGTTTGAATTCCGTTTTAAGTTTCTTATTGACTTTTTGATTTATTTCCTACAGGTTGCTCCTAACAACAGTGCGTATATCGTTGTGTCCCGACGACAGCACCAAAGTTATCTTGCAAAGCAAACGCGAGCGCAGCAGAGGTGAGGGTTTGTTAGTTACTTGGTCGCGGTCCACGTCAGCCTCATCAATCTATAGGTAAAAAGGCACAAAATACTTGATTTGAAAGCAAGTTGCAGCTTTTTCATTTGCACGATTTGAGTACACCTTTTTGAGCATGTATTAGTTTATTTTGATTTTGTGTCTTTTTATTTGTACATTGTTGCGCAAACCTTCAATGTAATTAATTAATTAATGTAATTAAATTAAATATCTCATCCAATTAAATTCATACCGTTTTGCAGAATCACCGATTATGGGTCTAAGAATCAGATTATAACAACGATTACCTGATTAAGCGCCAAAATGCAAATCATCGGCTATCTCGGTGGCAACTAAAATTAGGAAGACGACTAGCAGCCCCTAAAACTTGTTCACATGTGCTTTCGCTCTAAATATGTGGCCTTCGACACCGATTATTGATACTATTGCGTTAGTTTAGTTAATCCACTTATCTTAAAAGTACTTAGTAAGCAATTGAAATAATTTGTTTAGCGAATGATTCGTTGAGTAAGTGCTTAGATTTCCGAGTTATCTATTTGAATTTTAGTTAAACTGTTTGCCTTAACTCTAGAATGAAAGCAATTGCACAATTGCATGTATGTCATAGTTTACATATTTATTTGTATAAAATTAGGGAGCTAGTGCTCGAGAATTGAACCCAACCTAACCGACTATTGTTAAAAAGAAGCAAAAATACAATGCTAACTTATGTGTACGTTTATTTAAACTAGCGACTAATAGATGCATCACCCTAACAGAAATACTTGACAATTCAAACACAACAGAACTCCATTGCGAGTTCGATGATAAGGCTGTGATTCTACACTCATGAAGGATATACCTAAGCATAAGATATATATACATACACAAACCTATAGACCTAGACTTTTATGTTAGTTGCATTAATTCAAGTATTGACAGAATAGTTTCTCACCTTCTGTTTCTTAGTTTGTTGTGTAAACATGAACATTTTTTACTTTTTTATTGAGACCATGCAATGACAAGTTATAGTAATCGATTGTTGTAATCTATTAGTTGTACTAAACCAATTAATCTACTTGTAGTCCTCTTCAAAAAGAATACAATAAGATAAACTCTAAATGCAATTCGAAATTAACTGGGTTTGTTAACAGAACGAATACCAGAGAGCAAAAATTGTTAGCTGAATATTTACATTGTTGAAAAGCAAGAAATCATTAAATGAAATAAATGTATATTTACCTAAACTACGCGGACAGAGAATTTATTTCATAAGTTGCTTATATGAACATTAGTTCGCAAACGTCCGAAGGGAACAATTGTATTTATAAATAGTAAGATAACAAATAACGGGATAAAAAGCATCGAACATTTTATTTTTATTTTTTATATATCAGCGGCAGTATTGAAAAAACTTCTATAAATACAGTAGTCACTGTATGCAAATCAATCAGTTTGCAAGAGAAAATGAAGCAGCATATATTCGTTTGGTTGGGCTACGTTCTCCTTCATTGCGGATCAGCTGAATCCTTGGAGCTGGAAAAATAATAAAATTTTTTCCGCCAACAAGAGATTGATGGACCAAACGCTATACCTTATGAGCGATTCGAAAAATCCCTGTAAAAATTTTGTAGATTATGCCAAAGGCAATTACGGACGAAGTTCGAATTCGTACTGTCAATTTGAACTTCAAGTGGTTGTACACGAAAAATGAACTCCAAGTTCCTGGCATTATTTGAGCAACTAAAGTACATGACTTTCGAAAAGGGAAGCCTAGAGGAGAAGGTTCTTCAATTCTATAAGACCTGCGAAATGGTTAAAGAGAACGAGCTGGATTATTTCAACTATTTGGACATTGTGCAGCCGGATGAAAGTCTTCCCTGGCCACATCAAACTCCATCTGGAACTGAATGGCCCAAGGAGAAATTTCAATGATTGGTAACGCTCGACCGATTAAAACTCTATGGCATGAATATACTCTTTGACATGAAGCTTGACTTAGATCACCAAGGGACCAGCCAGTACATGATAATGATTGCAAAACCATTTTTTGGAATAATACACTATTATGTAGCTGGTTCTGAAACTCGGTTTATTCGTCAGGGATTCAACAAGAGTCGGTCTTTAATGATTGGTATCCAGCAGCTGCATCGCGATTCGGAAACAGTTTAGACACAGGCTAGATAATTGGTGTACAAATTGGACAAAATGGAGTCAACCGACCCTTATCCTGGATATGAACAGGAGCTTGCTGTGGTGGGAAGTGGAACCTCTACCGTTGTTCCCTTTGGCATTTTGGAGGAGCCTTTTTTTGCAATACGTGGTCACGACGTATTTAAGGTACGCTCGTCGATACAAAGTTGGCGATTAAAAAATGTAATCATTTATTTTGTGTAGGTCAGCCTTCTTGGATATTTAATTGCGAAACAGGTGCTGTCGGCTCTATTTCCTTATCCAAAATTTTCGTTACATTCGATGATCTCGGAATTTATTTTGACGATTCTCCTTGCATCAGCCCTAGGGAAACCGAAATGTGGAACTATAAGGATATCACCGTGGTGATTTTAAATATGGTACAAGATGCATATTTCTCCTCCGAATCGGGATTTGATCAGAACCAACCCAGCTTCACCGATAAGACGCTGAAAGAACTCTTATAATTTACATTTCGCCCAGAATCAACTCCGTAGTTCATTTCACCAGAGGTCTGATTAACATTTCCAGTTTTGTGGAGGCCTTCGGCTGCGACAGATCGCGTAAAAAGTATGTCATTAAACCGCTTTAGTATACCTAATAAAGTAAGAAACTTAATTTTTTAAAAATCCGCTTCTATGAATGTGATAAATCTCCATAAAAATCCTCTTAAAAAATCATGACTGCATGCATGTGAGCCAGTGGAATCGATATATTTTAGTCTGTGGTCAAGTCGGTTTGTGTACCCACTAAATGTAAAGTACAACATTGGCTTGAGTCCAGGCTATGCTGGGATAGTGACGATAAAGACGAAAGTCACAACGACGTCTGATATAAAATTCTTGTTTTTCGGTGTAATTTTTTAAATATCTCTGCAAATTTGATCGTCTCTTTATATTAAACATATTATGAATTCCATAACAATTACATGGAGAAATATTGAAAAACCGATATATCGACAGTTGTACCATCCCTAGAATAAGAGCCAGAGCGGCGCATAATCGCTCTCCGTCTCTTCCCTATTCATTTTATCACCATTCGCCTTTTGAAATCCAAATTCGACGGATGGTAAAATCTTGAGCGGTTGAGATTGAACTGAACGAATTCGCGTCGAAGTGATTGAGCCAACTTTTTTGTGGCTTTCGTGTGGCAGCCAAGCGAAGAAGTGTTAAATTGATTTTGAGATACTTTCGCGACAGCATCGCTTCGGCTGGCGGGTGTGTGTGGGTGTGATCAAACAAAAATAACGTGCAATTACGGGTCAGTAACCCAAACAAAGAAGTGATAAGAGCGCAAGAGGTCCTTGATGAATACGAGTGTAAGGAGTGATAAAATAAAATCTATTTGTTCTGCGTGCGTGTGTGTGGGGCTCCTCACCTGTTTGTGTACCTGTGTGTGTGCGGACATCTGTTCTGTCTCGTCTTCTTATGTTGCCGTCCGTCTCTTTGTCTCCCCATCTTCCGCCGTCCCTTTTCGACCAGACTCGTCTCGTCTCGCTCTACATAGCCACCAGGTAAAGGTGTGAGCGTGTGGGGGATTACATGGTTGCTCTCTCTCTTTCTCCATCTCTCTCTGCGTGGTAAACGGCTTGTTGTTCTTTCATAATGCAACAATAAATTATTCAATCGTAATGCAAACCAAAAATGTTTTTTAAGATCACGATGACACAAAAATATCTTTGAATATCTAAATGATTATCTAAAGTTGTGAAAAGTATGTGCACTGTGAGTAATCTCCACAATTTCAAATCAATCAATTCAAACAATCATGACTGTAATTGAAAAAACAATTTAAAAAATGTATGCAATCTTAAACATCTGTGAATAAACAAATAAAAAAATTATTTGTGTCATATGTTCTTACACGAGAACACACATTTTCATACTTTTATTTGTAGACTAAATGCGATTTTAAAATTTTGAAAAACACTAAACAAATTTTTCAATGTTCGAAGAGCATTTCAATGTCAGTGAAAATGAGTATGAGCATGACAAAGCCGATGGAATAGTTTTTATTTCAGTGAGAGACCCTGTTTTCCTTTTAAAGCACTTGTTACAGATTCCCTTCTCCCCCTCCCCCACTTTTGGTTTCCCTTGCTCCCCCACTGAGTTTTCCTTTGTGGCGTTTTCTTGCGTTTTTTTCGTTGTTGCCTTTCAATTGATTTATTTTTGCATAATCGTTCATTGCCAGACCAAAGCAACTCATAAGTCGAGGAAAAAAATAAAAACGCACGCTAAGTACAATTGACACATGTGTACAAAAAGGTATATATATACATACAATGTAGGTATATATATATAGTACTCACGTAGTACGCACATGTTTACATTCATAGTATAGGATCTCAGATGGATTGTGCGATTTTCAAGTGATTTGCAGAGCAGTGCTAATGCCAAAATCATATTCCAATTGGTTGCCGATACTTCGATTTCTCGAGAATTATTCAGTCCTTTCGAAATTAACCGTTGAGCACCCGAAAATTGTTTAATAAAATAAACTGGTTTTTTCTAACACAGCCAGCTGTATTTCTCACAGCTCTACATTTGTACGACTGTGACAAATTTGGATTTAAAATTAGTACAAAGAAATTCATGGAAATGAGTATTTAAAAAGAAAATATATGTATAGTAAGGAAACACTTTAAAGCACAAATGCTTTCAGCTTACCTGAACTTTACTTATTGTTTGCTTATCAGAGAAGTTCATTTTTTAATTAATGATGACCTCAATGAAAACCTAATTTTTTTTTGTTATTTTCTAAGATTTAAACAAAAGCTTAATTAATTAGTATAGCTTTTAGTATAGCTAAATTAAATTAATACTAATTGTATTTCAGCCATCATTGAAAAAGTATGATTTTAAAGATTAGGTCTTCATTTTGGAGCGCCGAGCTGCAAAATAAAAGAAAAATACATTGCTGTGTTTTTAACCATATTCGCACAGGTGCTCAGATTTGTTTTTATCCGATTTTCCTGCATTTACACACCTCTATGTCTGATCCCAATATTCGTATGTTTGGTTTCATTTCTTGCGCTTGGCTGGCGCTCTCTTTCTTCTCTCTTCTCGGCTGCCCATCGTCCCTCTCACGCTCCCTTTGGTTGCTGGTAGCCCCAATTAGCTGGCTTTTCTTGCCAAATCTTCGCACGTAACAAAAGCAGGCGGGTAAAACACCAACAACATTGGGGTATAAACATAATCGGGCGATCGCGTTACGCTCTCTTTCTAACGGTGTTTGAGCTGGCCTCTCTCTCGCTCTCTCCATCAAACCGGTTAAAGCTGCGCTCACTAAAACGCACGCTCTCTCTCTTGAGAGAGATAGAGATAAATCGCGCGATTGTTTTTCTTCAATAAGTAAACGAAATTATCCAATAATTTTTAGCAAAACAAATATGTGCACTTTTAATGCGAAATAATTAAAGGAATCTCTTTGATTTGTGTGTGTTTACAAATAAATCAGCGAATGAATGTGTGAAAGAATCTCAATGAACAGACAAATTAAATGAAAAGTCGCTGGGAAATTTGAAATTTGAAAGCAAGGAGGAAACGCAAGGAAAGCAAGTTGAAGGTGAGTCCTCACTAAAGTATTTGTTTTGATTTTGCAATTGTTTCTTTCGTTTTGACAACTTGTCAACGGGTTTTGCCAACTTCCCACACACACACGGCCTATGAAATCAAGTTGTTGTTAGCCTTGCAATGGGCCAAATGGGCTAGATATTTATTACGTGATTTCTTCGTCGCCGAAAACCCCTGAAACTGAACTGCCATGGTGACGGAAATTGAAATCGAATCGCCGAGTGTGTCACACAATATCAATCAAAGTCGCTGAAACAAAGCTTCAACAACAGCTGAAACTGCAGTTCGATTTAATGGAATGTCGAGTGCGGCGAAGGGATAACTTTTCCGACGGTCGGAAAATCAACTGTGGGAAAATCGATTGCAACGGCAGCGATTGGCAGGACTTACGGGCTTCCTAACATTAAAACTTTGCCCACGAGGCCATTCAACCTAAGCCGAAAATCAGGACCTCAGGTCTCATTCCATTCGATTTGTGACACGATTCCTATGCTTTTGCCAAGAAAGTTAGTTAGCACTTTACTGAATTTAATAGAAGTTTCTAAAGAATCTACCAGATGCAATTGACTATCTGTAACTAAAAAAAAATGTATAATTTATAGTTCAGCCTTCCATTTTTGTACGCTTTTAAGAATAATTTATACTTCTAATTTATTTATGTATCATATATACAGCCTGCGTATTTTTACCCACAGTTGTTTAAACTTTTCATACTGTTTCCCAATTTCCCGACTATATATCTTTATTCGTTTGTACCAACGTTCGATTCGCCATGCATTTGGTTTTATGTATCTTTGTATCTGCGCCAGTGAAATGTTTTCCTTAAGCTCCGATTGCTTTGGCTTTTGTGCAAGCACCGAATGAGTTTTCACATATCGTCTAATTATGGCTTTAAGCGAACACTGAATATAATTTCATTTAAAAGTCATCGGCGGAAACGTTTTCATAATCTGAGAGCAACGCAAGGCGTTGTTATGTCATTAAAGTACTTGAAAATTGATTAATTTTGTGTGAGACGGCGCAGATGAAGGGAATGGATAGTTCTGCAATTAAAAGGGAACGAAAATATCAATTAACTTTTTACACAACGTCGGCAGAAATCTTGAAGAGTTGAGAAGGCATGTTTACTTAGGCAGACTGTGAAAAGTGGAAATTTCAGCCCAATATGACCGCTTTTGTTTACTAAAAACACTTTAAATGTTCATCTCGAAGTAGCAATTAAAAAGTCGTAAAAAACGTACACACAAAGTGCCCAGAAATATTTGCAAAATGTTTACAGCTCAGCTATTTGTCCAGATGTGTACAGATTTGGTAAAGTACCTCAGTATTATAATATTTTTTTTTTTGGGTAACTGCCTCATTTGGAGGAAGGAGTCACGCCAAGTGAATCATTTTTCTAGGGTTACTAGGCGAAAAACGAACGAAACCTCTCAAGCATTTGTCATTGACTCTTGTTTTCATTTCTCATTCTCAGTCGGAGAAAGCGCTTTTTTTAACAAAGCCAGCAGAAACAACGGCGATCAGAAATTATACAAATTTGGGTTGTATGGCGTCGAGCAGAATAACAACAATGATAACCATTTTAGTAAATTCACCAAAGTCTGTAAGAGAAAAGGCCCAGCACAACGAAACTGGTGTTTTGTGTTTACGTTAGGTTTTTCTTCCTCGACTGCTCACAAATTGCGTTGAACAGAGAGATTTAGGGCCACCCATCCATTCATTCATTCATTCATTCACCGACTCGTTTACTCGTTCACCCATTCACCTATTTGTTTAATTTTTCGTGTGTATTTTCAACTTTTCCTGTTGTAATTTGTTGATTGGTCTCACTGTGTCGCATGTTGGCGTTTTTAGGTCGGTTCCAATCTGTGTTTTTTCGCCCTGCCTGCACACGCAAATTAAAGTTTACCCCAAATAGTATATGCCTTTCCACTTTTCCCGATTTTTTGTATCATTTCAAAACATTGGCAATTAAAGTTTCCATTTTGATTGAAGCAGTTTTGGTGCTTCTACCTATGCGATTCGAATTTTAATGTTGGCCTGAGCTCTGTTTACTTTCTTTTTTATTTATAAATTCGAACATGGATTTTTCGGTAGCTTCTTAGCCGAAATGCAGTCATACATATTCACGAATCAAAAGCTGCACTGTTCCCATTTCCTTGTTAAGACTCTTCTATAGACTTCTGCCCCCTCCCATAGTTTCTTGGGTCGATGTTCGCCTTTAGATAATCCCGCCCTCTAGATTAAGTCCCGCCGAGAAGATGTTATACAAACTGGCAGAGAAGCAAACAAACAAACAAAGGAATCTAAAGCTCTTTTCGGGAAAGTGGTGATGGTGGGCGGAAAGGGCGAGCCTAATATAATCCGATCTATCCCATCTGAAAACGTGTCCGATCTGAGAGGTGCTACATACGTACATATGTGCCTATGTACATATGAACATGTGTACATGCATATGTGCTCTGTTGATTTGTCTTCATTATCAGCTCGTTGACTGTTTGCTTCTGATTCTCGGGTAAACATAGAGCAGACGACGTGGCCGTGATTGTTTGTAGTGTTTGCTTTTTGTGGTAAAACTTATTTTTAATCTTCGAGCACCCAGCGCGTTGCCAAGTCGCTCCTCCCACGGCTTTTTCAGCCCATCTCCTCCGCTGTTACAACCGGCGGAAACCACCACGGCATATGAGTTATTTTCGTTTCGTTTGGACTCAAGTCGATCGGACGCTTGCACATTTTTTGAATGCCTTTGACATTTCCAAGGAACTAAGATACACCAACACCAACCTTCACTTTTATCACATTTTGACAGTAATGGCATTGGTTACTCGGTTCTTGACAGAAAATCGATCAAATCAGGTCTTATTTTGCACTTTGTGTGATCTAAATATGTAAGCTGTGTCTGCGGAGATTATTCTATAAATAAAGCACATGCCCTTTACTCCAACAAAAGTGAAATACTTTATAATAGTATACTATATATCTAGTCATATAAAGATATTTTACTCAGGCAGTGCAGCTTGTTTATCTCAGATATATTGACGCATGGCTCCTGTTGTGGCTTCCATTGTTTCTATTTTAATTATTCCGCATCTTTATAATTCCCAAACATGCGTCAAATGCCCCCGAGATGCAAACACAGGCGGCAGATACATGTACATACTATATGAATGACTATAAAGGAATATGGCCAAGCTTTGGGAACTGGTACGTGAAATGATTTCAGCCAAATGTTGGCTTAATAACTGTTTTTGTTTGCTTCTGGCTTCCCAGAGCCATATATTCATTTCCTTTACCCAAAACCCCCTATCCCCATCGCTGTTTCCCCATCCCGTTTCCCAGGCAAGTGTCTTTTGTTTTATCAGCTGCAGAAAGTTTAGTTGAATAAGCAAGCGAACCTTTTTTTGCCTTGCCTATTGAGTTTTGTTGCGAGTGTGAATTATTAACCAAATGCCTGTGACGTCAAACTGCAGCGCGACATTAAGAAATGTGTGTATTCCCTGAATGATCAACAAATTTCAATGAAGCGCACTCAGCAACAAGGTTAAGGGATTTTGGCTACTGTTTTGTCAGCAAACGATTGAATAACATTCTTATCTGGCTAGTCAATTCTCAGGATTTATCTGTGTCACTTCGCTTGGGTTGGTGCCACTTTTCCTGAAACGGCCTTCATAGCCGGTCTAACGAGTACCAATGACCAATGCGATACAGCCGATGCAGATCTATATGTACCCAAAGATTCAGATACCGGTTTGCAGAAACACACCCACTTGAAAAGCTGTCGTTCAGTGCAGAAATGTCCAAGACGTGCAAATATCATAGATCCAACGATCGTTTTTGCTAGAATTGATTAAAAATTTAATTTATTTTGATGATCTCCAATATATTATAGTGATGTAATAGTATAATACTTCTGGCTTCAATGGGTTTTGTCCAAATTCTTTTTAGTTTCGTTTTTATTTTAAGCTTAGGAAATTAGTTTTCTTATATTTATTAGTGCTTATATTTTCTTGCTTGATTAAAAATATTTGATGATTGCAAGTTACTGACCACTTCAACCTTAAATAATAAATATGCAAGAAAAATTACTTTCATAATTTTGAAATTAAAACCGATTGAAATTGTTCCCTGATAATTCTTTCAATGTGATTAATGGGCGTAATTAATAAACGCAATTATGAAAAAGAATAAGTCTTTCTTGGAGCCTGAGTCTTGACCAGATCGCGAATCGATCAATTACCGTGAGAGGGGCCAAAACTGTGCCCCGGCCAATGATCGAGGTCAGCACTCTGTGAGTGGAGACAAAGCGGCAAGATCAGCGAACTTTCCAGGGCGGGAGGTGCCATGATTCAGATGGGGGCCACCTTATGAGGCAGTCGCGATGGGATGAGATCTTGGGCAATAAATTAATGCACAGTTTCCCGCCACTCTTGGCACAGCTCACATCTCGTTCGGTGACATGTGACTTTTGGCGACTTGTGCAATTAAGAGCAGCAGCAACAATGGCAAATGTGTCGCAGTCGCAGTCGCAGTCGCAGTTGTAGCCCCAGTTACAGATATTGTTGCCCCGTTCCATTGAAACTCACTCTTCGTGCCAAAACTCAACTCAACGCAACTCAACTGAACTCGACTCGTCTGAATCGAACTGAACTGAGCTGAGCTGACTAAGAGGATTATGTGGCACTCCGTTGCTGTTGAATCTCTGTGCTGTGGCCTGTAATCCGATCCACTCCATCTAACTCACACCGATTTGGGTGTTTTGTTGTGCTTGGCAAGACATCTGGGTGGGTGGCTTGAATACTTCGCGGAAGCCCCTTTCATTTGGGCCAATCCGAGCCAGAGTAATTTAAAACAAAAAGCTTACAACGAGTTTGTCGAATTCCAAAAGCCAAATAATTAAACGCAACGCATTCGAGTTGCACCAACGAGCGTTTTAAAGGGGAACCACGAAGCTAAGCCTTTGGGGCTTTGGAAACTTGAGAGTTGCATTCGAGTGGCCGAAAAGAACCCGTTAGTACTCACGAAACCGTTTGGGAGTATCTCCAACAAAGAAACATTTCGAGAAACCATGAAGCCTTTTTTTACTGAGCCGTTGAGTGTGTGGTCTAAACGAATATAATATATTACAATAGTCCAAACTCGGCTCAAAGAGCTCAAATGAGAACTCGACATATTTATCTGACTGTATAAAAGAGTAGTTCCTACATTCCCTTTGATTAAACAACACATATTCGAATTAAAGGAAATATCTAATGTCGAAATATCTAATATCTAAGAGAATGGCGTTCTGTTAGATATTCTGTTCTGGCACAAACAGAGCATTTTATAAATCTATACTACGAATTAGCTTGAATTAGCTTAAATAATCTGTAATTTATATAATTTTCTGCAAGTCCATATATCGATTTGCCACGTGACATTTCAAACTGTAGCAATTACCTTTCAATTATGCTCGGAATGCAAAGCTAATGGTATTATTCCACTTGATGCGGCATATAAAGCCATGGAAAAGCCAATCCAAATCAGTCGTAATTAAGACGCGCGATATTATGGGTATAGAACCGTTTTCTCCATTGGAAGCTTCATTGCCATCCGCCCAACTCAGGACTCCGAGTTGTCCGCCAAACTTACAGTGGAACTCTTTGGCTATGACTTGTCTCCCGACCTTGGATGCAAATAAATATATTCCAACCGTATCTGGGTCTCCGTGGAACTCAGTTGTAAAAAAACCTGATGGAAAACGTGAAGAAAAGCCTGGAGGAAGTTCTGGCGGAGGAAAGCCTGTGACTCGTCCTGTTGGAAAACCTGGCGGTAGTACTGGCGGAGAAAAACCTGCAGAAAAACCAGGAGGAAATCCTCAGGATAAGCCTGTAGAAAGTCCTGGGGCTAAACCAGCAGGAAGTCCTGAGAGCAAGCCAGCAGATAGTTCTGGCGGAGCAGCTGGAGGAAGTCCTGCAGGGAAACCTGTAGTAGGTCCAGAAGGAAAACCAGGAGATAATTCTGGCAAAGGCACTGGGGGAAGTCCCCAGGATAAGCCTGTAGAAAGTCCTGAGAGCAAGCCAGGAGGTAGTTCTGGCGGAGCAGTTGGAGGAAGTCCTGGAGGGAGACCTGTAGTAAAACCAGAAGATAAACCAGGAGATTCTGGCAAAGGCACTGGGGGAAGTCCTGAAGGAAATGCTGGAGAAAAGCCAGCAGCAAGTCCTGAAAGCAAACCAGGTGGTAGTTCTAGCGGAGCAGCTGGAGGAAGTCCTGGACAAAATCCTATAGACAGTTCAAAAGAAAAACCAGGATCCAAAAACGTAAATAACAACAATATTAGTATAAACGAAAAAGGCCGACTTAAAAAAAAAGAAATTTAAAGTGTAACCTTCATCAATTTGAGTACTGTTTAAATAAAATGATTTCAGAACTTGATGATTAGTTAAAGCAGAACATTTTTTATTTATGTTGGCATATAATATATATGGTTTTGGTTATATCGACTTTTAACTTTAAAATATTAATAATTAAAACCTGAAAAATGTTGTTAAAAATCATTTTAAATAAATACGTCATAGTGGTATTATTTATGATTGTATTAATCAGCAACATATTACGTAAAGTGCATGAATGTAGGTCGGAAGTTCAAGCAAATGAACAATCTCGTATCAAAAATTTCCAAGTGGTGGATTCAAATTCGAATAATTCTTATCTCTATGTATAATTGAGCTATAAGAGTATTTGAAATAATTTTCAACACGGTATCATAACAAAAATGAAATTTATTGAGCTAAATAAATAAATATCATCAGTTTAGCTTGAGTTATTTTTGTTTTTCTTATTTCACAGAACCTTGCCTTGAAAGTAATCGCCATTAATTTTGACCACAAACAGCTGCGTAAATAAAACGGAGCCTTATAAGATCGCTGTGCCATATTTATCAACCTTAAGAAATGCTCGTAATAGTGTGCATGGGAAATCTAATTGTTTGTTTCGAGATACAAGTACACGTCCGCAGTTTTATCGCACTGCTGTTAAAGTGTTTCGCCATAATTACTCCAGACTGAAAAAGTCAAAAGCCCATCTGCCCCTTTTCGCCTCTTGTTTTTGTTTTTGTTTCCACATTCGTGAAGGAAATCTATCGCAGTGTAGACACTCTTATCAGGAAATATAATATATAAGAAGTCTGAACATCTCTCAGCACAGAAATAATTTTTCCGTAATTAGTTGCTAACGATCGAAGCATTTCTGTGCCTTCAATTCTAGGGGAAATTTGCACTCGATCGCAAAAAGTATCTTTGTATCTTTCTATCTACTAACGCAGAAATCGGTTGGGCAAAAAACAGCAGAAAAGCGTAAAAACAAAGCAAAACAAAAACGAGAAAAGAAACCGCGCTCAAAAAACTTGTTTTGTAAACTTAACTTCCTGTATGCGAATCGCATAAGATCGCACATGTATCTGTATGTCTGGTTTATGCATACAAATTCACAGATATGCAGTTTGGGAATCGAGTATGGTAATGCACTTGTGTTCACTTTCCATTTACTTTTGATTGTTCTTCGAGAAATGCCATTAAGATTCTAAAAATGAATTTGACGGCCGGCTATTGACTGAATGAACAAGTGAACAGCAGCAAACGAGAGGGGCAGTAAATGACTCAGCCAGAGTCCGAATCTCCCAGCTTAAACAAGTTTCTTTATTTGGCTATGACAGGCTTTCTGCCTCCAACTTGGACCGACTGACCTTTACCATTACCATTTTGGCCAAGGAACCCATGAAATAAATCTTGCTTTGAGTTTGCACTTGCTGGATCTTCCCCTTTGTTGAATGTCGTCTAGATTACTTATTGTCTTTCTTAATTACGTTAGTCATCTCTCCGCCGTCTTCGGCAGTTCAACGTCCTGCCCCAGACAGAAATATATAGAATAAATTCAGGGCTTACTTAGAGAATGGATGAGAGAAGCATGCTGAGGAACCTGTGCGTGATCTGCATCTTCATGGTCTGGGGAATATCCCGCAAAAAGGGCGTGAGCACGGAACTAATGCCAATTGATCAAGAGATCGGGCCACAATGTGCATTAAAAAACAGTGATATTAAATCACCGACGCTCTCTGAATAAATATGAACTCGTTTGCCTGGCGGAAATGGGGATTTAATTCGCTGTGAAATTCAATTGGGTAACTTTTTCAATAAATTGTGTAGGGCTTCTTCGTCTAAAAGCTTTTTCCATAATCCATGTCACATTTTACCTTCTCTCCACTTTGTGAGCATTATGCAACAGTCCACCTGTCACTGCTGTCCTGCATTATGTTTTATATTCGAAAAATGCGAACTCAACTCCATATGATGGGTTTTTTCCTGGCCGCTTTCACCGCTCGAACTCCAGAAATCCTGTCCTCTTGCAGATGAAAAATTTCACAAATTATGTCCATTTGCGGTACAACTTCCATTCATGTAATGCCCTTTAAAACCCTAAGTTAATTCACTCCTTAATTAACTCGCATTGTGCAATTCATGCGAGAGTTGTTTTGACAATCATGCATTCGATAAATTATTGCTCGCAGAGGAAATATATTGCACGATGTTTGATGTTTTTATTTCCCGTGATAGATCTGATTAATGAAAACACTTCCGATTGTGCTTCAATTATGGATGTAATTCAGCAGTGGCATCATTAAAGCTTATTTACTTCGCTGATCTCTGGGATAAACATTTCCTGTGTTCTCGTAAAATTCGCGACTACCTCAACGAGAACAGGGTAGAATATGTATTTGGCAATTGGCCAGAAGCGAAGCAAAATAAGTAAGCCAAAAAAGTTGGCTCATTCGTCATTCCTCTGCTTCTTTTCATCCTGGTTCAGCTGCCGCATCTGTGACACCGAAATCCTCTAGAAAAATGGAAAACCCAAAAAGAAGCAGCATTCAAAAATGTGGAGCATGGAAGCAATAAGCGGCCGCATTTGTGGGTCAGTGGGGGGAAGACTCGATACTGGGAGGAGCATAATTGATTAACTGGCTGGCCAGCGGGTAAAGTGGTGCACACCAGCCAGAATGCAGCAGCTCATACCCTCTAAACCACACTTAAGCGGTCAGCCATCCAAGCATAAGGGTAAATCCTCAATTAGTCGCCATTCGCAGGGGTTCCCCATCCTCAGCTTCGCGGTGGGAGGAGGCACAGCTTGGAGGCACGGAGGTGCCACAAAGTAGCAGAAGTAGCAATCACCGGCATTAGCGTTTTGCTGATTTTCATTTTCATATTTCTTCCGAGCTGCAAGGCTCAGTCAATCGATAATATTCTGCCCCATTCCCGCCACCGAATGAATGCGTGCCAGGAGGCGTGTTCAAGTGGCGTCGCCCACATTGTTGATATAGCTGTAGCTGCTGGTCCTTGGCAGTATCGCATATTAATGAAAGGAAAATCGCCCGACAAAGTGAGCAACTGTTACTGCTCTCACCCGGATGGTTATTGTGATGATGACGATGACGATGACGACGCCATTGGAATCTTTTTGCATCTTGACGAGGGCATAGCAGTTTCATTAGCCCTTCCTTGAGCGGTTGGGTTGTGCGGTCTTGTCACGCATTTATCCGAGTTGGGAGTGGGGCATAAATTTGCAGGGGAAGGGGCAGGCGTCATTCCCTTTCGAGACACGAAGCCAGTTAAGCACAACATCTTTAACTTGCAACTTTTCAGGTCTGTGCTGAGCAAATCCCTAAATCCTTTTAGCTTAATCAGAGTTACTGAGTAACAGTGTTAATGATAACGCTCAACATTTAACTATAAAAAGTGGGCTTTGATTTGTGCCGAATCCGTGTAGAAACATTTCAGCTCGTTGGTTCTGTTCCAGATTTGCTGCAATCGATTTTAAAATGTGTTCTACTTTGAATATTAGTTTGAACTCTTACCAACCAATCCCTTGAAGCAGTTTCGTGCAGCTGTAAGCCAGCAGTATGGTGCCATGATTGCATCTCGAGTAAGGACATGCTCCGCCAGCCCAAGGATGGGCACACATCGCCATCGTCCCCACATGGACAAGTGGCTGAGTGTAGAGCGCGCTTTTAATAGAAGACGGCGTCAGCGAGCATCCTTCTCGTCCTGCGGAAGTCTGGGCCAGAGAAATGGGTGGGGGAAATGGGTGCTGAGTGGGCGGTGGTGCCTGTGTCACCGCCTTCTGTAATTATCTTTTCCCCTACTTTTTCGCTCCATCTTGGTCGCATGTTGCAGCGACTCTTCTGTTTGAGCTCAATTAGTGTGGCAATGGGGCGAGCATTTCAGGAAGTAATTGTCGGCTTCATCAACCGGAGTCTTGTGCTCCATGGGGATTATGTGAAGGTGTGTGTGGGTTGGAAAGTCCCTAATGGCAGTTGCGTGGTGCAACCTCTGAACCCTGAAAGTCAACGCCCATGCTAAGCCATTTATCCCGCTTCTCTGTTCCAGGATATGCCTCAAAGCTGATCGATTGACCGAGTGAATGATTGCGCTGCCAGTTGGTTAAATGCTACACAATGTCGGCCAAGCACATCGAGCAGTACACGAATCCCTCCTTCGAGCAGGAGTCCGACCCGCCGCCTCCCCCCTTGGGGGGCGTGGCAGATGTGGGAGCAGGCAACGATGCCGGCACGGCAAATCGCAAAGGTCACAGGTGAGGAAATCGCTGCCGTTGCCAGCTTACAGTTTCTAGCTTCCTTGTTTGTATTCGCTGTTATTATTTTGTATTTTTTGAGACATTAGGCCACCCCACCCCACCCCATTGTGGAAGTACAATTTACTATTGACACTCGCCTTGGGCAAGCAAACAAAAATATTATGTGCCGATACTTTGCTCCATATCAATAATTAGCTTCAGAGCTTCTATGGACACGTTTAGTAGCACGTGGATGGGCGGGTATGGGTGGTTAATAATTCATAAGACTGCAGCGCCTTGGTGCCGTCAAAACCAATCGATAACAGTCGATTACGTTGAGTCGGTCAAGTTTGAAATATTCAAAGGCCCCCAAGCCGAAAGGAAAAGGAAAGCGTGACAAACAAGTCCAGGGTGAGCACGTGAGCTTGAAGGCTCGACTAGCAACTCGCCGCAGTTATCCGCAGTCAACCGCGCGCTCTGCCCGTTGATGGAACTCCGGCACAGCCGTCGAACGGAGAACGCGAACGGAAAGTCCTGAACTCCCGAAGTGCCAGGATATAGCCGGAGTGTGTGGTTGCAGCTGCCGGGCCAAGAAAGCCAAGTGGGTAGGAGCGATGGATGCGGGGGTCGGGGGATAGAGGGATGGGCCAGTGTGTTGGCCAACAGCCCAGAGAGCTTGACATTGAGTGGGCCATGCGTCCTCGCCCTCGAGCGTCCTTGGACCGACCATCGCCAAGTTCTAGGCCGTCCTTAGATCAGGCTGGCAAAAAAGACACATAACACTACAGCAAGGCTGAAACTTTAAATACCCTGGGCCAAGGCGCGCCAAATCAAATTTTTATATAACATCGAAAGGACGTAACCGCGTGGTTAAAACACAAAACGAGAAATTTCAACATTCAAAATCCGATTAAGATAGGTTGAGTTATGGAGTATAGAACTTCAGCCTTGGGACATTTTTTAATTTTTTTAAATTTGTACAACATAATACATCAAAAAATTAAAAAAAGTTATATTAAAACCACTTCAAAATCGGATTAAGATAAGTTGAGTTATGGAATTTAGAATTTCACCCTTGGTACTTTTTTTCAATTTGTTCGAATTTGTACAAGATTATACATCAGAAAAGTTAAAAAAAAATTTTTTTAAATGAAATTCTAAATTTGAATGCAGATTTTAAGAGAATGGCGCGAGAAACATTTAGATATTTTGCCTGATATTCTTTATATGTTTGCGTGAAGTATAATGAGGATTGTATTATTTACAAATATTTACAGGAGTCACATAACTCCAAAGGTTTGCTGTTATAAAAGAAACTTGTTAAATTCATTAGTAAATGCATTATAAATAGTACATAGTACATAATAATTTAATAATAGTAGATAGGAAATACCACAAATTCAAGATAACTCCAATAGCCCCACCGATCATTCATATCCAACAAAATCCCAATAGGCAGGCGGCTTGTCATAAAATGTTCGGAAATTAGGTTAAAATTGAACGTTTTCAACGAGTTTTGGCTTGGGGTATGGCAAAAACCCAATAAAAAATGCAAAAAATCAGCGCCTATTGTCCAATCCTTCTTGATCTGAACACAGAAACAATCTCACTTGCAGGCGGCAGGAATCGATGTACCAGATGACCGGCCTCTACTCGGAGACGAATAGCGGCGACGACAGCAGTATAGATGCGGCCCTAGACCAGGACAATCAGCCCCATGCCACGTCCTACCTGGCCGGGGATCAGTTGCCGTCGGCAATTGGGGGCGCAGGTGGTGGACCACCAGTGGTGGCCGACGGCGTGACGGTGAAGTGCCACAGTCGACAGGCATCGGCTGGTAAATGTCCGGCTGAACCGGAGGAGGACTTCGACGAGGAGCAGTTCCGATCGGGCGATTGCGGCATTCTCAACTGCAGACCTTACGGAATCCAGCGATTCGCCCGCATCAAGATCTTTGTGGTGCTGCTCTCGCTGCTGGTGATGATGCAGCAGGCCCTTAGTTCGGGATACATTAACTCTGTGATCACCACGATCGAGAAGCGCTTCGAGATCCCCTCCAGCTACTCGGGGCTAATAGCCTCCAGCTATGAGATCGGAAACGTGATCACAGTGATCTTCGTTAGCTACCTGGGCAGTCGGCGCCACATTCCCGTGTGGATTGGAATCGGAGCTGTAATCATGGGCATCGGCTCGCTGGTGTTTATGGTGCCGCATTTTACGGGCGAGCCCAATCCGGGCATAGCGATCGTCAACAGGACCAGCGACAACATTTGCAAAAACGCATTGGTTAAAAATCAGGACATGGACCTGGGTCGCCTGTCCAGCGGACTATCCAACCAACCCCTGGCGCCGCACACGCTGCGCGAGGACAACTGCCTGGAGGGCAAGGCCTCCACCACTGGGCCGGTGCTACTCTTTGTGCTCGCCCAGCTGCTCCTCGGATGCGGAGGCAGCCCGCTCTTTACACTAGGCACCACCTACGTGGACGATCACGTGCGGACGGAGAGCTCCTCCATGTATATCGGATTCATGTACAGCATGGGAGCCTTTGGACCAGTGGTGGGCTTCCTGCTTGGCGCCTACTTGCTATCGTTCCACATGGACTCACTATCCTCCACCACCATATCGATCAGTGAGTAATATCCCTATGGGTATACATTTTGAATGAGAAAGTCAAACGTTATTAATCTTATTGATTTATTGCAGCACCCGGCGACAGACGTTGGGTGGGCATGTGGTGGGGAGGTTTCCTGCTATGCGGAATCATACTGCTGGTGGTGGCCGTGCCCTTCTTCTCCTTCCCCAAAGTGCTTGCCCGCGAAAAGAAGAAGATACGGAAGAGCAGCATAGTGCAGCCGGTTTTGCCGAACAACTCTAGAGCCACTGTGACGACGGATGAGATGGGCAAGGTGAAGAAGCTGGAGATAGTTGCCGTGACCAGCAAGGAGGACCAGTCGCAGCCGCCGCCCAAAGTGGACACGGGCTACGGGAAGGACATCAAGGATATTCCGCAGTCGATGCTGCGCCTGGTGAAGAATCCCGTATACATCGTGACCTGCCTGGGCGCCTGCATGGAGCTGATGATCGTCTCTGGCTTCGTGGTCTTTCTGCCCAAGTACCTGGAGACGCAGTTCAGCCTGGGCAAGAGCCAGGCCAACATCTTTACTGGCTCGATCGCCGTACCTGGAGCCTGTATTGGCATCTTCCTCGGAGGCTGTATCCTGAAACGATTCCAATTGAAGCCCAAGGGTGCCGTCCAATTTGTGCTGATCACTAACGTCATCTGCTTGGCCTGTTACGCGATGCTCTTCTTCCTCGGCTGCGACAATCTTAAGATGGCTGGCACCACGATTCCCTACTACACCAGCAACAAGCATGGATCTACATTGGAGCAGCCCTTCCAGGTGAACCTCACAGCCGCCTGCAACTTTGGCTGCGAGTGCCTGACCAGCGAGGTGGAACCGGTGTGCGGCAACAATGGACTCACCTATTTTAGTCCTTGCCACGCCGGCTGCACTGCCTTTTCGTCCACATCCAACACCAACTACACCAACTGCACCTGTAAGTGCACTGTAAATATTCCATAATATACTATATTTACATCATTTATATTTCATAGGTGTTCGCGCCAACATCTCGAGCAGCATTTATCGTGGCGCTGGTGGCAGCCAAGCCCAGGCGCTCAACGCCAACGAGAACTTCGCCGAGGTGACGGTGGTTCCGGTGGCCACCGCCGGTCCATGTGCCACGCCTTGCCGCACCATCTACCCGTTCCTCATACTGCTGTTTTTCATGACCTTTTTGGTGGCCTCCACGCAGATGCCGCTGCTCATGATCGTGCTGCGATCGGTATCCGAGGAGGAGCGTTCCTTCGCCCTTGGAATGCAGTTTGTAATCTTTCGCCTCTTCGGATACATACCGGCGCCCATTTTGTTCGGAAACCTCATCGACTCTACGTGCATTCTCTGGAAGTCGTCCTGCGGCGAGAAGGGCGGTCGCTGTCTCATCTACGACATTGAAAAGTTCCGATACAAGTATGAAAAATTTATAAAATATATATACATATATATGTTTTATTTATTTGTACTTCTTTTTCAGATATGTTGGACTGTGTGCATCTGTCAAGCTGATTGCCTTGGTTATCTTTATGGTGGATTGGTGGCTGGTGCGCAGGCGCAAGCAGCTCGAGAAAATGAAGCCGCTTAACGCCAGCGATCCAATAATCGGATCCATCATAAGCCTAGACAAATGTAAGCTTAGTACTACATTTACTAGTTAGTAATTGTAACTTATAAATCGTATATTATAACTTCTATCATTTTCAGTATTTGAAGAAAAGTTTTCGGGTGCCGAGCCGTCAACAGCATTTGTCGGTGGTGGAGGAGAGCTGATCATACCCACAGAAATACTTCGTCATTCCCGCAATGATTCACGCACCATGCAAATGGATTATTGGTTAGTCCTACCCTGCATTTGAATTCAAGTATTATGTTCCCAATTAATGGCTTTTTCTGCAGCTACGACAAATGCGGTCGTGTGGTGACACCGGCAAACACATGCAACCAGCCACAGACCAAGTCTAAGAAGCACTTCCGAAGTGCCTCCTGTGACGTGAAGATGATCAAGAGCTTTGCCCGGGATCACAACTCGTCCAGCGGACCTGCGGATGCGGCTGGTCAGGATGCTGGTGGTGGCAGCACCAAATACAAGAATCTCAAAAAGTTCCAGGCGCACACGCGCAATCACTCCACAGACCTACACGACCCCAGTCAACCCATCCGATATATTCAGAACCAGCTCCGGCCGCAGGACTGCGCCGAAGAAGATGATGACGAAGAGCTGACCACCGGCTGCGGACACTTCGTTAAAAAGCACTCGCGGAACCACAGCTACGACCAAATTTACATGCCCAATAACATACGCTTCGATGCGGACTTCCTAAGACATCCCCATTCACACCACAATCCCAAGAAGAATGTGAATGTTTTAAAGAATGTGGTTTCTGATGTCGGCAAGCTAAAGAATTCAAATGAAATAGAAGCTGGTGGATCTGGATCACGTGGACATTCTCGCAACAACTCGAAGGACTTGAACACCAAAATTTCCAGTGGTACTCCTGCAAACAACGCATCTGGTCAGGTAGCAACGGATGCCAGCACCACGGGCCTAAGTGTGCTGCGACATCGGCGAACCAACTCCAAGGATCTAAATTATCAAGTGCTGCCGGAGTCTGCTCCATCCAGCTCCGTGTCAGGGCACGCACATCCACAGCACTCGCGGAACACGTCGCACCACAAGATCCAGATCGATGACGATCGAAACGAGCTCATCAACGACAATGATGACGAAGAGGAGGAGCGTTCCGCGTGTGCTTAGTGCTAAGCCATGTAGCTTCCAAGGAGCTAGGACTATCGATTTGTGGCAACATCAGCAATGTCTCCATTCCTGGCGGCAATCGCCTCATCGTACTTTGAGTGTGTGTGGTTCATGCCCGTTTCCTGATGAAGTGACTCATCCCTCAGCTGCTCATTGTACTTACGACCGAGTGTTCAAATCTACTAATAGAAGGCATCTGAAAATAGAAATCTTTTGATATATGCAACATTCAACCAGAATTCGAATCCGAGTCAGATACGATTGCGAATCCTTGCAGATAATATTTATGTAACCAGGCGTTAGACTAGAAATCCTAGAAAGCAGCTAGCATATTTTAGGATAGGAGTAGATCGTTGTGATAGGAATATTTTTTATTGTATTTTAGTGGAGTGTAGATCCGTAAAAAGTCGATTAAGTGTTTGAACTGCTGCGTACGTTTCGCTTTATTTCGACTTTGTGCAATCTCGGTTTCGAAGTTAAACGATTGACTGAGAATCAGTTGGCGAAAAAAAAAAACGAAACGAATAGTAAATTACAATGTTTTAATAATCTGAACATATAACCATTGTCAATGGAAATTGTGCTGTGAAACAATTTGTGAGTATAGAAAACAAAAAATTAACGAAAACGTTGAATAGAAAGAAAGTGAAAATACGCTGAATGTAATTCTTATGCAATACGTCATTTAGAGAATCTTTGTGGGCAAACAAGCGATGGGTTCGAATGAAGAATAGGTCTGGAATAGTTTTACGAGAAATCCTAAATTCCCTGTTTTAATTGTAGCGAGAAAATCAAGTCTAGCCTAGATTTTAAAACCGAATGATGTACTTTAAATGCGATAATGCCTTAAAAAATATCAATTAAATATACACGCGGATAATATCAGTATCTCAACTGAAATGGGAATCCAACCGCTCCATCCGGTTGTTTTCCTACGCACTGCCCGAGTGCAAGACCCCAGTAGTCCTAAGTGATGCAATCTAGGTTAATTAGTACCAACTATTTCTATGTTTACACCAGCCAGCCACATACAGTAGGAAGGGAGGCAGAGTGCTCCTCGAGCACTAAATAGATACATCCATATAAATAAATATATGTATACAATTGTACGTTAATAAGTACCTACGCGTAGCTAATAATCGTATTGGGATACGTGTTTGTACAACATAACTTATACATTATTGAAGAGCGATTTTAAAACAGACCACAGAAAGTGAGTCTTCGGTGCAAAACTCATATATATATATATATATATATCATATATATGTTTACGCGAAAAGTGTGTTTAAGGAATACATATTTTTACTTAGAGAAATATTGCAAATAAACTAAATAAGGACATGTATGAAATGAAAACAATGAGACTCCTAAAAAGAAAACAAAATAAACCAAAACTGCAATAAACAAATGTATTTGTGTTTAATTCGAAATTATAATTTTAAATGTTTCATTTAAAAAAACTCATTTTGTAGTTATTTCAAAGGGGCTCAGTGGCGCCCCTAGTAGGTGGTACTCGATTTTGGAAACTACTTGAATGGTGTGACCATGATGTTGTATAGCCAAGGCTCAAACCTTACGTTTAGATTACGTTTTTTTAGATACAAATTTTCTTTTAAGTTTTTTATAATTTCGATTCACAAAAGAGTTAAAATATCATTAATATTTAAACTACAAAACAATAAAATAGTATAGATTTCCGATTCATTTAAAATACTAACTCCATATGTAACTTGTCACTTCTCTTCCAGCTATCGAGACTTAACAAAATATTATTTATAGTATTTAGTTTTCCTTAATAAAGAGCCTTAAAACAAATGCAAAAATAAAGGAATAAAAAAAGATTTCAATGAGTTTACCTTTTGAAGGACAACCATTCCTTATAAAAAAATACAGAAATATTTTTCTATCTATTTAGGGTCCACCTATGTGGAAAAAAGTGGTTCAGTGGTAATAAAATTGTTGAATTTAATTAAATTGAATTAGAATGATAAGTGATCGATTTTATATGTTTGTGAGCAATCGAAAAACTTAACAAAGTAACTCTGACATTCAACGCGCTGATAGCTTATCTTTACTGTATTCAGCCACAAAAGATATTCAAGTAGCTGAGTAATTTTTACCATTACGAGTTAGAGAATTACAGATCGATCAAATGGAAAAACGTGCCACATCTACCATCCAGGTGCTCTATGCAGAACTGGCAGCCGGTGCGTATGAGCAATGCCGTTGCGTATACGCAATGTATTGACACTCCTTTGCAGCGAAGTCCAGAAGTGCGGATCTGGAGGAGGAGAACATTTTGCTGCGCCATCGACTGAATCGTGCGTCTGCCAATCACAGCAGCGATGCGGCAATCAATGTGGAGGCCAAGATCATGGCCTTCCAGTTGGAGGAGGAACGAGATCGTCTGGTGGAAACACTGCAGAAGCACAAGAAGAAGTACAACAAACTGCATGACGCTTATCTGGAGAAGGTGAAGCGCTGTCGTGCCTTGGAGGAGATGTTTAAGCGGCAGAAGACACTTACAGGCCTGGTGATGAAGTCTTCTTTAGATCAAAGAAATGCAGGTGTGTTATGTGGATTTTAGCCAAGAACTAGATCAATACCATAAATTCCTTTGTAGAGCAACGAATGGCGTTTGAGAAAAGACAATCGGTCCAAAACGACGCCATTGAGTTGAACGAGCTGAAGGCCAAAGTAGAAAAACTTCAAAGAGCCCTTGATGAGTCATACGACATTATCGACGAAATGGATTTTGAACTTGAGAGCGTAAGACCCTTGTAAAACTTATTACTAAACTTAGGTAACGATGATTCACTTAAAGGTGGAATTACTGGAAATGCAAAACCAAAACTTACGGGACGAATTGGCCGCCTTAAGGGAAAACTCAGTAGCAGGAGCGACCAGTCTTCCAGCTTCAACCCCCAACGAAGACGAGCCGCCGCCCAAATATGAGGAAGACCATCCCGGACAGCACCATAAGGCTATGCAGGCCCGTCGCTGCTCCTCGAGCAGTGAGTCTGACCCAAAGGATGACGATGCCGACGCCGAAACCATGGAAAGAGCTGCCCTTACCCACAGTGTACGCTTAAAGCAGCATTGTCATTAATGCTATACGTCTGATGGTTCCTCATTTTCAGCTCATTCAAACGGTGGAAGCCGAGAGCAACGCCCTAAGACGGGAATTGTTGAGATCCCGCTGCCAAAGAACAATAAGGGCCAAGTTGGAGAAGGAAAGCGAGGCTGCTGAATAGATAGTTGGCAGGATTGACCTGTTAAATAACTACCAGCCTAAAATAAACTAACAACCCATAGATCGTAATGACAAGTAGCCACACTAAAGCTGATGAAACTGATCACTGAGTGTACGCACATGGAGCCATATCTAGTCCACTGGACTAACCCAGATTCCGAGCCTAACTACGCCTAACCAGTGCACATACCAGAGTTTGCTTTTAAGGTTCGACAAACACGCTCTGCGGCTGCGTTGAATCAAAACTTTTGAGATGGAGTAACCTGGTTTCTGGGACTGAGCGCGGAGGAAACTCGTCTAATGGCGATTAATTAAAATATTTGCTAATGCCATCAAACGAGTTGCAAGCGGATCACCTGCCAAAGGATCTGGCCTCTGAGCTGTGAAGGTTCCAGCCCCCAACTCCAATCCCCATCAACGTGGCGCGCCATCCATTAACACATGACAATTATTTTTATGACTTAATGCAGTCGGAGGCCTTGTTGCCCAATGCCTAATGTTGCAAATTATTGACAAAGTAAATTAATCTCCACATTTGCTGCTCGGACCAGACAAACTAGCGCGACACCTCTAAGATCACCAGGCTCTCCCACTTGCGGCATAATTTGGGTGCTTATCGCATGTGTGCCGCTAAAGGAAATTAAAATGGTCCATGTATACAAAACTCTAGAAGTCTTATTAGATTTTAGCATATTAAAAATGCGTAGTATTTTTATAGAAAATTGTTTTTTAATTTTTAATGGGAAATGTTGCAATTTTGAATGTCCAAAAGTATTCCTTCTCCGATTTGTTGGATTGGGAAATATATTATATTAAAAATGGGAAATTGTTTCCTTGTCGTTTTCATTACAAGGATATACATATTTACGGCTACTTAAAGGGAAAAATGGAGTACGTATTTCAGTGCTTCTTAATTTTTCTCAGTGCATATGGCTCAGGCTGGTGCGAACCACATTTTGCATATTTCTTGTTTAATTATAATTTTTCGGGGCTCACCTAATGAGCGCGCTCCACTTGGCGGCGATCTTGTTTGGGAGGCGCGTGCCGCAAGGCGACACGACGCTTTGGGTGGATTGCCACATCCAAGTCGGATCGCAGCGTGGCTCTGGCCTGGTAATCAGTTGGCCAGCTCGTATATAAGCAGCCTAGGACTGCCCAGATTAATTACTTCGATTTCGATCTCTGTCGAGTGCATTTCAATACCCAAAGAGTTCTGGAAGGAGCGAATACCACAAAATGATGGGAAAAGTGAGTGCAGCAAGGAGTGCGATACAAAGGATACTAATGCCTGCAGTGCTGTCTCCCTTCTAGGCTAGCTACTTGTTGTGCCTGTGCCTGTGCCTGGCCAGCGCCGTTTGGGCCATTGAATTGCAGGCGGAGCCGGACTACGGACCAGTGGCCTACGAGTTCCAGTGGTCGGTGAACGATCCGCACACCGGCGACATCAAGAGCCAGAAGGAGTCGCGCAAGGACGACAAGGTCGAGGGCGTCTACGAGCTGATCGACTCCGACGGCTATCGCCGCATCGTGCAGTACAAGGCGGATGATCACAACGGCTTCGAGGCGATTGTCCAGCGCGAGCCCACGGACATCAAGATACCGCTGCCAGAGCCACCCAAGAAGCTCCTGGCCGCCAAGATCCTGACTCCCGTGCTGCCGGTGGCGCCACTCGTCCACTACGCCGCCCCCAAGGCCATCGTCAAGCAGGAGCTGTCCTCCGGCAACTATGTCTCCGTATCCGGACCCACAGCTCAGTACAAGTACTGAGTGGATCTAGTGACTGACTTGCTGACTTCAGCCGCATAAGCCCATTAGGATCCCCGCCTCCACCCGGGAAAACTCACTGCCATACATCGTAGCTTAGTTACCATTAAGACAAATGAGTGTACATAGCCAGCTTACATTAACCTACCATAAAGATGCATCCCATTCAATCTGTTCGCAGAGGAACACAAAGAGCTTTGACTTTCATATGGAAACTATGGGAAATATGCTTCATACGAAATATATTAAAACAAATTCTAGTATTTGTAGACCAGTGCATATGTGCATATAGAATTGCAGATCAGTAAAGAAAAAAATAGTGAAGAATATTTTGCGAGTTCACATGAGTGACACAAAAAAGTTGGTAGATTATAAAAAAGTAACAAAAAAGTGTTGAATGAAATGCTTCACTTAGTTCAACTCGCTTGTGAGCTCAGCGAAGTCGTATCATAAAGTTTGCGACTTGATGTCTCATAAAGTGATGCGTCATGGTACAGGTGGCTTCGATACTGTGATAAGCATAAACTAATGCTATCGCCGCCAGACGCGACATGGCCCATAGATGCATAGATGACGCTAATCTCACGTAGCTGCTGCCACTTTGGGGGCGTCCAATTGCCGGCGCAGTCGACGTCGTCGATGGTGGTTCTATTGGATTTGGCTAACGCCCTGGCCCATGGATCAATGGGGCATCAGTGCGAAAATGGTCGGCTGCCCGGAGACACGACAACTGGTGGTCACACTGCTATTGGCCCTGGCCTTGTGCCTGGTAGGCTCAAAGGAAGCAGCTCCAAGCGCGGATGACAAGTGGATGGCCCCGCTCAAGCAGTTTGGGTACACGGCACAGCATCTGAAGAACAAGGTGGAGCATGGCGAATTCACCACCTTCGAGCTGGGCACACCCAACTACCAGATACTCAATCCCGAAGACGAGCCGGAATACATAACTGCGGATCAGCCGCACTACCAGGCGATGCTGAGGCGTCTTACCAGTGGCCAAAGTGGAGCCCAAACCATTGATGTGGAAATGGCCAGTCGCACGGATACAGCTCGAGATTCTACCGATCAGGCTCAAACCGAAAAGCCATCCAAAACCCAAGTGACGGTTAAGCCAAAGTCACAGCCCAAACGAAATCGCTGGGAGAAACTGAGAAAGCGCAGCTCCATCGAAAGGAGACGTGACCACAAGGAAGCCATGGAAGCTGACGCCAGGGATGAGCTAAGTTTCTTCCCGGAAATTCAGGTCTATCCAGGCCTACCCTTCCAAAGTCGTGTGGCCAATCTTAATTAAAATCAATAGGTCAGGTCATACAAATTCTCAGTCGGCTTTGGTTCTACGTGAACTCTGGTGACTCGGACAACGAATAAATAGTACCCGGTAATTTGATTTTATTTTTCTTGTTCTTAAGTTTTTCTAGCTTAACATGAAATAGAGTTATTTGCTATTTTATCTTTGTAAGGCTACAATTTTAATAAATGAAATTGTATAGCCCTTTACTAATGAAAAGAAAGTAGTTAAGCTCGTGTTTGTTAAAACAAAATGTAATTTATTTGTGCCCAACTTTTTAAGTAATTATTTTTATATTTTAAAAGTATATGATAGACAGGCAATTAATGTACTCAAGTTGTAAGAAGATTGCTCAGGCAACCAGCACTATCGCCTGCAATGTTTTTATCCGTTGTGCACGTGTAGACCTTGAGCTGCTCGAAATTACAACGAAAATTGATAAGTCAATCGACACAGAAGTTAATATCAGATCTAGGCCAAGACCCAGAAATTATAAATCCCCAAGCCGCCGGAAAAAGTTGTGCAGAACCGCAAAAAAGCCCAATGCGGTCGGAATGGGTTTGGCTATTTACGAAAGTAGGCTTGCGGGCAGATTGCCAATCCGAGCTCCAAAAAATGCCCTATAACCCTAAAGGTTGTTGTCATGTTGCCAAAACCCAGAGGTCAAGCCGAGATATGTTTGCTATATGTTCCTGATTAAACAACTCTTGTCGAGCACTCGATGTTATCGACTGGTGCGGGCAGAAATGCTTGAATGTGTATTACGGAAGCGGCGGCATCTGGCGATTGTCTTTGCCCCCGCGCCCATTCCGGACCGCCACGCCCCATTCCGAGCCGTTTGGGGCGTTTGGAACGTGACGCGGTCAACGCTTCCGCGACCCATTTGCTCGCTTGTTGTAAGAACGGGAAGAAGAAGCTCTCGGCCAGCGCAGCGTATTTAAGAGCTATTCAGCAAAATGCATGAAAGAGTTTCGCACGCGACCGACCAACAGCCAACAAGTGCCATCCATCGGCGATCCGGGACAGAAATTCCAGCAATTGTGGGGAAAGTGATCGCGAGCGAGGGAGAACTTCATTGGAAAGGTGGGTAACGGGGTCAATCGATTGGTAACGACGCCGCTGCACTTCTCTGACCCATTTTAAAGCCATATTCCCACCACCACCCGCTTTCAGATGTTCGAACGCTGCAATTTATTGTGCATGGCCCTGCTGATGGCATCGGCACTACTGACCCAAGCCCACTTCCCGCAATACTGTGCGGAATGCGAGCAGGAGGTGTGGGAACAGGTGCCGTGCAGCGAGGTGCCCACGACGGTGGCGCCCACAAGCACTGCAGCACCAGCGACCACTACCACCCCGGGCAGCGTTGAACCCACCACCAGCAGCACCAGCAGCACCACCAGTGCCCCGTCCACGCCCACGGACCAGACCACCCAGCCGTCGGCGTACAAGAAGTGCTACTGCGAGTGCAAGCTGGGCTGCAAGGAGTTCTGCCGCAAGGTGATCTCCTCGGAGCCCAAGCAGCCGCTCACCCAGATCTCCTCCATCGGGGAGTACGCACCTGGCGGGCAGGTGGAGTTCACACACGTCCATCAGCGCAAATACTTTCCCAAGTATGGAGGCGACTCCTATGCGGGTTGGGTGGGACCCGTGGGTGGACCCAAGGCCTATAAGCCCTATCCGTTGGTCTACGAACAGGCGGCCGCGGCATCTGCTGCATCGCCGGCTTCCATTCCCTCGGTGGCATCCTCGCCAGCGGTGGCCAGCATAGCTGCTCCGAATTACACGCTGGAAGAGTTGGCCCAGCTGCTGAGCACCGCCTATGGCAGCAAGAAGGGTTATCCGGCTAGTGTGCCAGCTCCACCGCCACGTCCCCAGTTTCAGCTGCAGCCAGCTCCCTCCGTGTACTACTCCCCGGTTCCAAGCTACGGAAAGCCAGTGGTTCCACTCGTGAGCAAAGTGCCGCCGGCACCCAAACTCACCTCCAGCATTAAGTACGCCGCCTCAGCGGTCTCATCATCCTCATCGGGCGTGTCGGTGGCCAAGATAAAGACTCCGTACGAGGAGAAGATTGTGGTGGCCACCCCGGCGCCCATTTATGAGAGGTCCACGTCGTATCCCATTGTCGAAGCACCCAAGGAATACTCGGCGCCCCAGACAGAGCTCTATCCCGTTGTGCAGAGCCAGACGGAGTCGTATCCCAGCCACACTCCCATATACCCGAGTCCCACGGAGTCCTATCCCAGCCAAAAGGACTCCTACCCCAGCGTCACTGAGTCATATCCCAGCCAAACCGAGTCCTATCAACCCCGTACGGAGGCCTATCCCGTGCCTCAGCCGGAGGTCAAGCCTTATGGTGGTCCCGATGCTGGCGCCGACAAGCCCTCCTCCAACTTTGACCTGGCCATCGATAATTATCTGAAGGACTTCGGATACGGCAGCCAGGGAAGGGGCTATGCGGACTACTGAATCTGTTGTTCGATCTGTTGTTTTAGGCTTAGTCTAGGCTAGAATGTTTTCTAGGTGTCAAATTATTTATTGCTTACTCCCCTTTCCTGTTGACCGCATGATGATTAAATTATTTGCAAAAAGTAATTAAATATTATTGGCTTACTGGTAACTTTGGAAAGTGTTGCATACTTTTGGGCTGCTGTTATCCAGCTTCAAAGTAAGCTAATTTCCCATCTTCGCTTTGTAAAAAGAATGAGGGAAACAATCTTTGAAGTTCATTACCCTTGAAAAACGAACACTTGTCATTCGGCTTTGACGCATTTTATTGTTTGTATTTAAAAAGTTTTCTTCGTTTGCATTCATTTATGATATACTTTCTTGTTGTCGATAACATTGAACAATGCTTTTTGCCAACTTGATTTTGCCAATCTGATAAGCACAGATATATACACAAATCAGAATCATTATTTTCGTATGCAAATATGTAGGTTTATGCACATGAATGTGTTCAAACAGCGCTTATATAACCGTTGATCAAGGCGAATCCAAATGGTTTTGCTTTCCAAATTTGTATTTTCATTTTCTCAAATTTTACGCACCAGCTCAAGTCTTTCATTTCGTAAGGTTCTGCATTTGTGGAGCTTATCATTTTCACATTCCCGATATAATGAACATCGAATTGGGAAAATGCATTAGGCACACAATCAAAATAGCCAAGGAAAGCAGAAAGTTATATAAGTAGCTCACTATAATTGCACTTGATAGGATATATTGAACAAACGGAGTAATAGTAATAAGAACAATTTGCAGAGTACACTTGCAAAGATGCGAATGTGCGGTTTTATTTCTTTTCAATAATGTTTGCATATAAAATAACAAATAAAAAAATTAAATCATAATATTTAGAACATATTCGTACATTGTAAATGAAGTGAAACTAAAAACGATAAATTGCAACACTTTGAAATAATGATGTCGTCCCAGCTATGAATTTAAACGTAAATTATCGAGAAGAAAATATAGTTATAGTTATACGATATTTTAAAATGTATATATACAGCTTCATTCATTAACAATCTCGATCCGTTGCTTTAAAGAATATCATTTTCGGATTCCGTAAATCTCCTCAGACCTTCCCGAATTCAATTTCGTTTCGAAAATGTTCAACTGGTAAACCAAAAACAGAGCCCAAGATACTTGATATCTTGTAGATACATTTGCGTTGCTCCTTAGTTGTTGGTGCTGTTTTCGGTCCCACAAAATTTTGCTAATTATACAAATATAGGTGTCACATCGTTACACTTTAAATATATAAATATGAGTACTTGTATTATTCGGTTGCCTTTTGTTTTGATTAAGTTTGCTGACTAATGCATTCTCAATTGCAAATAGGAAAAGTTTCTTGGTTTTAGTTTTTGTTTTTTGGTTTTCGGTTCTTGGATGCCTTGCATTTGCCTAGTTTGCTTTCGTATTATGTATTACATTAAGTAGCCGTAGATTAAATATATTACGCGTTTATTTATCATGATTAAACATTGATTAGGTTAAGGTGTTGTTTGTTTTTGTTTTTGCTTCTTTTGCCTTTATCTTTACATTAAATGTGTAGAAAAATTCGTTAAATTGATTTGCATATAGTTAATCGATCTCCACCCCCCAGCTCACCTGGCTAGCCACACAAATACAAAGTTGAATTGGCTCGACAAATTAAATGATTGGCTGCACAGCCACGCGGTTATAGTACGTTATGTATTTAGTTTGCTACGATTTGTGCCTTGCAGTTCTGCGCTATTTAGTTAATTTAATTATCCATTATTTGGCTGCAGTCTAGACTTGTAATTCGATTTCTTTTTCCCATCTCCAGCGTGTTGCTCATGTTAAACATATGATATACATTTATGGTACTTTGGATACTTATATAAGTTCTGCTTTATATCAACTCTTCTCTGCAAATGCTAAAACTCATTAGCCCCCACCTCCCCCGACGCAAATCGTGGGCAACCCACTATGGCCAGCAAACTCCCAAGGACCACGGCGAATCCCACGGCGTACTATCGCTGGCTGCCAAACCCACTGTGGCCACCCAAAGCCAGTCGCTGCCCGAATCCGCCCCTGTCCCGCGTCGTCCTGTGCATCCTCCGGCGCTAGGTGAGCATGTAGACAAACAGCAGCGCCAACGCCACGTTGAAAATCAGGACGAGCAGCATCAGCTGCTGGCGCACAAACCAGTCCTGGGTGATAAACAGCATTCGTTCGATTAGATTCAAATTGCATTCCATTGAAGCAATAATAACAATAATTTAAAATAGAATTTCAAATGTTTTCCGTATGAAGTCGAACTACGATTAGATATTATAGTGGCGCACATTTATGCTACACTGATATAGTGAAATATAAGCCATAACAAGTTGGGAATTATTGTCAAACACTATGGGCACCAGTTTCTAATTACAATTACCGATGTCTTGGTCTAGAGTTTACTTATTAAATTATTACTTATTTATATATTTATTTAAATTTATTTATATATTTATAATATTATATTTGAATTATTAGAAGAGAATAAGTTTGCCTTAAGCTTCTTTTGTTTCCCTGCAATATTTTGATCAAGAATTATTACACCAAAGGTGAAGACGTGAAATAATAAATGTAGTTTAGGAAAAATATTAGGTGTTTTGGCCTCGTGGCTAATGGCATTTAGAATTATTAGAAGCATCTCTAATTGGGAAAGAGCCCATAGTTTATGTTTAATTGCACCATGGACGTCAGAATGCTGTTTACAGAAATTGGTGCAAGTAAAGTGCACCAATTGTGGGTGCATGTGAACAGAAAAACATCAAAGGCATTTGGCAGCGAACTAGACTATCGGTGCACTGTCACTCACCTTAACCTGTGGACTGACCAAATACAGCAAGGGATTTGCCTTGAGCCGCTCGTTGACCTCGATCTGGCGACGCACTGCCTCCCGGCGGGCGGAACCCAAGGCGGACACCTCCTCCCGGCTCATGGCCTCGGTGGCCCGCGGCAGCTCCTGGAAATCGGGCATGGACTTCTTTCGCTGCAGCGTCACATTGATGGGCACCGACTGCAAAACGTGGCAGAGAAGCAAGCCGCAAATTAGTTCAGCGTTGCAAGGTGCGGCAAGGTGTTGCAAGGTGTTGCAAGGGCAAGGGCAAGGGGCTATCCACCTCAACGGGGGGCTCGACGATCCAGCTTTCGCTGGCTCTCCTGGCCAGCAGCGCCGGCGAGAACATGAGGTCCTCCTCATCCTCCTCCGGATACCAGTCCATGCTAGCCGCTCTTCAACTTGACTTTTCTTTGTGGGGGAAAAAGTTCGGTGACTGAAACTACAGCCAATTAGCTGCTTGCATAAGGTTGGACAATTCGTGTAATCTTTCTTCTACAGGCGGTTCCAACTTGCAAACGAGTTGGACATGGCGTTCCGCCCTAACTGAGCACCGAGCATCGATACACGGACACGGAGAGTCACTGCGTCCGTTTGGGCAGCCAAAAATAGTACCACAACCCGCCACGACGGCACTGAGCCAAAACAACAACGGATATTGTCGCTGGCTCTTCGCACGAAATTGCTTTCAGAATTCCTATGTGTTCTTCTTGTTTTGAATGCCGCACATATATGGTATATATGTATCTATATAATTATATTGCCACTCGACCTGGCTCTACAAATTCAATTGGCAATCCGTTGGGGCCGACGCGTCGTTTGCTACTAGCCAGTCCAATTCGGAAAATCGTCGCCTTTGGGGCCACAAGAAAGCAACAACCAGCAGGAGGCGAGCGACACTTCCCGAGAGGCATTTATTTATTGCCCTGTCGCCGGCCTGCCTTCCAATGGCCACTTGTGGAGCGCCTGGTGTTCATTCCGCCGCAGAGTGAAATTCTGAGCGGAGCGGGAAATTCTGAGAGTTGGCTGAAATCTCCGAGATTCAGCGGCACGCATGCATTCCAACCTGGCCGATCCGGCTGGCGTGCATTCGTGCCGTGCCCGTGGCTATAAATAGCCCAGAATGGGCACATGTTCGCCCCGAGATGGCCGAGAAATGTTTCTAAATGAACACCGAGTCTCCGGCCATCACCATTCGCTCTCACCACTCACTTTCTCCCCCGCACAGAATGTGCCCATGGCGCACGAATTAAGTTAATTGCTCGGATTAACTGTGTTATGAAATATATTTCAGGCGGCCGGCCCGGGAATTCTGCGATGCTCACTTGGGCTACGCTAGTGTGTCTCTAGGGATTGGAGATGAAAACCCAAAAAAAGGGAAAGGGCAAATATTTTGGATTTACCCCAAGCGCAAGGTGTATATAAAACTATTCCGGAAATATGGAAATGTGCATAGAAAGCGAGCTGACTCACCTTCATTTTCTTGCCGCCGCCACCGCCGCCGCCGCCTCCTTTTCCGCCCATGGCCATGCCCACCGGCGTGGCCGGCTTGGCCGGCAGATAGAGGCTCTCCGTGCGCTTGGGCTGCGAGGGCGAGGGAATGATGTCCTGGCCGAGCGTCCGCTGGCGCAGCAGCACGTCCTCGAACGGCTGGTTGGGCGACGAGAAGAGCGGCTCCGCCTTGCCCTGGCTGGGCGCCCGTCCGCCGGCTCCCAGGCTGGGTGTTCCGGCCCGCGACAAACGTCCGCCGCCGGTGCCCGTGGGCAGGGATCCGTTGCCCGTCATGGTCGATGTAGCGGCTCCAGGTTGCGGGGTGGATCCGCGGAATACTGAGCCCGCCCGGGGGCGTCCATCGGGTGTGCTGGTGCCGCCATTGGTCACCGGATCGGCCAGACCCGAGCGGTCCAGGGACGTTTGCCGCGATCCCGCAAAGGCGCCGCTCAAGCGACTGGCCGCCCGGGCGTACCGATCGATGGAGGAGTCGCGGCTGGGCGGCCGCTTGTAGTGATCGAAGTGGTCGATGGATGACTGCTGGCCCATTTGGCCCAGCATGGGCGGTCTGCCGCTGCGCTGCTGCTGCTGGGCAGCGGCCATGGCGGCGGCATTGGCGGCCATTGCTGCGGCGGTGGCCGCCTCCTGGATCTGCTGCTGTTGCATCTGGGAGGCGCGGCGCAGCAGATTCGAGGCATTGTGGGTGGGCGAGGCGTGGAGCGAGGGCTGCTGCTGGAGAGCCTGATGCTGCTGCTGCAGGAGTTGCTGCTGCTGCTGCTGCTGTTGTTGCTGCAGGAGCTGTTGCTGCTGCTGCTGCTGTTGCTGCTGCAGCTGCTGTTGCTGTGGGGAGACGGCCACTTGATTGGTGCCAGCGCCAAATGGCATCTGTGCCTGGTTTTGATTCGGTGCCTGGTTCTGCTTGAGGTTCGCGTTGAGATTGGGATTGATCTTGGCCTGGCCGGGCGGCTGCTGCTGCTGGAACTGATATGCAGGATTCATTTGCGGGTTGCTCTGTTGCTGGTTCAACTGCTGCTGCTGCTGCTGCTGCTGGTGCTGCTGGTGCTGCTGCTGGTGGTACATCTGATTGATGGCGCTGATCACCTGGGCGTGGCTGGGCTGGGCCTGGCTCACCAAGCCGGTGAGATCCGTCTGCGGCGAGACGGGCAGCTGCTGCGAGTACATCGAAGGTGGCACCGGGCATTCCGACTCATGTTTCTGCTGCGACATGCGCCGCTGCTGCTGCTGCTGCTGCTGCATGTGCAGATATTGCTGCTGGCGCTGTGCCTGCGTGGCATACGCATCCGATCCGCTGCTGCTCGTGGGCGAGAACTGGCTCTGCTGCTGCTGCTGCTGTTGCGTCTGCATGCCCACGCCCATTTTGACGGATGCATCGGAGGCGGCCGCGGGTCCCGGACGGAATCGTTCCCGCTCCCGGAAGCGCAGCTTCTCGAAGCGCTCCAGCACCGAGGGCTTGAAGTCGGGCGCGAATTCCCTCGCCATGCGCACCGCATTCTCGCAATCCATGCGCGCCTGCTCGGCCGCCGCGTCCGCATTCTGGGCCTTGGCCGCCGCGGTGGCCATGCGGGAAATGGCCATGTCGGAGCGCTGCATGGCCATCTTAAGGGCACGCTGCGCCGAGCTTAAAGCCGCCGCGATGCGGTCGCGGAGTTTGCGCGAACGCGCCAGGAACAAATGCTTCTTCTTCTGGCTGGTGATCAGTACGTTGTTCTTGTACTTGCCCTCCTCGACGGTTCCGTCGCGGAAAGTAGTCACTCCGTAGCCGTGCTTCCGGTTGTTGTACCACTCGCCCTCGTACCTGGTAAGGATTCACATGGTCAATGACGACGTGCCCATGCGGCATCAGGATATAGTTCGAAACTCACTTGAGTCCATCGCTGCGCTCCGCCACGCCGTGACCACAGCGCTTGTCCTTCTTCCACTCGCCCATGTACGTCTCCACCACCGTGGGGTCCAGCTGCTCGTCCTCCATGGTGAAGCTGGCATTGGACTCGGTGTGGTTGGATCTGCAGAGGCAGGGAAGTGAATGAGGTTAAGTATCTGGCATCTGGCGGCACTTACTTCGTGGTCAGGTTGGACTGCTCGGATCCAGTGCTGATCCAGGAGGCCGAGGACATGGTGGACCGTATGCTGCCGGATGCAATGGTGCCCCGCTTTTCCAGATCGCCCGTGCTGCGCTGCTTGCGCATCTTGAGGTTCTGTTGGGAGTATGAAGAGATTAGGATGCTGTTGCCACCATGGGAGCTGATGTCCCTCGAAACGCACCATGAGGAAACCCTTCTTGCCGGTCTTGTCCGTCAAACTGTTGCGCCGGACCGGCAGCTTATCGGACTTGGCCGTCAGGACGAAGCCGCCGCGTATCTCCTCCGCCTTCTCCGCCAGCTTGGCCGCATTCCCGTTCTCCCCACTCCGCAGGGAACTGAGCGAGGCGTGGAGGTTCTTGCGCCGGTGATGCGAGGCCAAACCGAAGGGCGCCGAGGTGCGGATTCCGTAGCCATGCCGCTTGCCCTCCTGCCACTGACCCTGGTACTTGCCTGGAATGCCAAGGAGTGCATTAATGTCCACTGCAGTCCACTGCGAGCAATTGTTATGCAAATGGAACTCCCAACGTTCCCCTTTTTTGCTCTAACCAAACGGGAGTTGGCCTAAGTGAAACGCTATCCGTTTCCCAACGGCTTCTATTAATGGCCACACGTGCCACTTCCTTTCAGCCCAATGGCATTGGGCCTTAAGTAATACTGCAGCGAAAATATGCAAATCAAGTGCTGAATAAGCTGCAAATGGCTAAACATGCAGTCAGTCGGTTGGCGGTGAGTCAGTTAATAATGCAAATTTAATTATTTTTGGATAAATAAACGGGAATATGGTTTTCCCATTCCATTTCGCTCAGTGCTTCTTCTGGCCAGGTTAATTGCGGAATTGGAAGTTACGCTAGTTGATTAGGAAATGCTTCTTAGCCCTCAGCTAAAGCTAATTGATAGTTAGGGCCAATTGGTTTGGCCAAAGGTCGACATTGCCATTTGCACTCTGGCCGCAACCAAAACAATTCCATAATGGTGGCCATAGAACTGGGCCAGCTCCGCGGGCGGCACTTGGACATGTGGCCATGTGTTTTACCCAGACTGCGAATTTCCCCAGAAAAAGCCGCACTCATGCAGAAAAAATGTACAAAAGGCGCAAGGCGAAGCGGCAAAGCCAAATATCATTGAACTGCGCGGGCAAATAAAATATGACGTCAGGCTGGGAATGGATATGGATGTGTAAGGGTAACACGGGATATGTGTGCGCCACCAGAAATGATTACAAAAGCGTCAAAAAGTAAAGCAGCGGCGAGGGAACGAACTCATATTCGCGCATTTTGAAAGTGAGCCAAAAACCAAACGCAAAATGATCTCATGCACATTACGTATACGCCGCGTATGGCGTATGGCGTATGGCGCCCCAGGGCCCACGCCCATCACTCACCGCCGTCCGCGTAGGTCTCGCATCCGGACCCATCCTGGTAGCCCTCATTCCAGGTGCCCTCGTACTTGGCCGTCGACACAGTGCTCTCCCGCACTCCGTAGCGCCCCTTGTGCCCGTCCTTTGACCACTCGCCGCGGTAGATCTGCCGCCCGATCTGCTCCACGCCCAGTCCATGGCGGCGTCCGTTCTGCCACTGACCCTCGTAGTGTGATCCGCTGCAAGCGAAGCTCAAGCTTTAGGTCACCAGCTCCCAGCTCCGAGTAGCTCCCACTCACCTGGGCCAGATGTACGATCCGGACACCTCGAAGCCGTAGTTCCAGGCGCCGGCGTAGGCGCCCTGGTGCTTGGGACCCGTGCAGACGCCGTGGCCATGGGCCTTGCCCTCATCCCAGCCGCCGCAGTAGGTGCCGCCGTCCTCGAAGTCGAAGCGCCCGCCGTTTATGGGGCCACGCCTACCGCCGGCCGCCTGGGAGGCGGCGTAGGCGGCCAGGTCGCCGCCATTTTGTTGCTGCTGCTGCAGGAGCTGCTGCTGCTGCTGCTGCTGCAGCTGCTGTTGCTGTTGCTGCTGCGGCGTCAGCTGGCCAGCCTGTTGCATGCTCGAGACTGGGGGTTTCTAAAGTTCGGGGCGGTTGAAAACTGTGGTTACTGCTGCTGTTGCCGTGGGCTTTTTGTGCCGCCGCCTGCTGCTCATTGATTTTCCGCTCGACTGCTGCACCGGCTGCTGCCTCATCTGATCCTGGTTGTGATCTGGGGTCTAATGGTTCGTTTCGCTTGGTTTCGTTTGCTCTGCTTAACCTAGTGGTGCTGTAGGGCTATTTAAAGTGTGTGTGTGTAAATTGTTGGCTTTTTCACTGAAACGCGAAAGTTGCAATTTGTTGCTGCCCTCCTCTGGGTTTCCCGACTCGATTTCAAAGCTGCATAAACCGATCGTCCGATGTCGATGTCCTCTGACAGTTGCGGTTGTGATTCTCTATGCTAATGTCGTAGGCCATGCTTGGTCATTTACCAAAAATAAGTCGGCGAGTGATCTGCAATTGGGTGTAGAAAAACGTTTATCAAACAGATTTGAATGGCGTGGATAAGCAAGCGGGTTTTCCAGGAAATAATCGCATTATGCAATTGACTTTGCTGCGGGCGGCCATAAAAGTCTAAACATTTGCTGGATTTTACTGAATCAACCGGAGAAGTGGAACTATTCGACTTGGGGAATGGTGCATATTGCGCTTGATTTATAAGGCGCTTTTAATTGATTTCTATCTGCCGAAAGTCTTCCACCATTTCCACCCATCATTCTGTGCTTGCCACGCGCGAAACGCGATTTTTATGATCCGAAATGAGTGGGATGAGTGCAGGGGCTTTTCCGGTGGGGGTTGGGTTGGAAAATACCTTGCATTGAAACGAGGGCGAGAGGATGACGATGTGAGGTGACGATGCATTATGGATACGATGCAATTGCATTCGATGGCGGTTTATTCAGCCGCCCTCAACGACTTTCGTTCTTATATCGCACTGGCACTGGCAGCAACCGATTCTATCCTATCATCGCATATAGACCGTATAATATGGGGATTTTGCCACGTCAAAGGCCGAAATTCTCAATGGCAGACCACCTCTCGAGTGGGTGGTGGTTTGCTCTGCTCCACTCAGCTGTTTCGCTGGCATATATACTCAAATGTATTGTATATAGACGAACGCATGTATTTATATGCTCAGAGGTACGCCCGATAGCAATAGTAGAAAATTAGGAAAAGCGCATAGTAGCAGGCGAATGCCACGAAAAGCACTTTCAGTGTCTTCATGGTTCTGCTTCTGTGTTTGGTTTTCTGTTGTCACTTTGACTGCGTTCTCTGGGTTTTTCCCGATTTTAAGCGGGGGCCATGTGTTTTCCAACTGGAGGAAATTCGCGCTGAGCACTGCACAGATTTAATTAATATTTTTGGTAGTTTTCCTCTGATTTAGCGAGCTTTTACTGAAAGAGTGGATGTAGCGATTTTGGCATTCTTTTTATAAAATGGAAAACACAGTGATTCAACGCATTTTTTTCAAGTGGGCTTCGTTGTGTTTCTGAATGAATGTGAAAAGGCATGACTGCTCAGCAGACTGACTAAGCCAACTAGCGCATACGCCATGTTGCAGCATTCCTCAATGCGAATCCACAGTCGGGCCAAATCGCGTATACGCCACGTTGCAGCATTCCTCAATCGAGGGGTTAAGAACCCTTCCACTCAATCGGGAATTCAGATGAATAGCGATTCGCTGGAATGAATGCGCTACATCACTGCCGTTTGATATATGCGACTCTGCGGAGCTGTTTACTTTAATCATCTTGCAACACGACGTATTCGGCAAACATTCAGATTCATTTTGGCTTTAGTCTATGTGTGCTGGCATTAGCTTCTGACTGCTGCTCGATTTTATTGTTCTTTTGCGGTCGACGCCAAAACGATTTGGGTTTTTCGAAACGAGATGGGTCGAGACAAGACGCCAGGAGAGGCGAATTCTTCACAAGCTTTGTTATTAATAGACAACGTGCACACACTGAACGGCATCGGTTGAATTGGAAAGACAAGAAGGAAACGTACGGGGAGCGGGCCGAAACAAAGAAGGGTGTCTCTATATCTCGGAGTCTCCCCATCTCGGAGTCTGGCAATGTTTTGTTTAAACATTTATGATGATGAAAACACACGCAACCAGGAGCCAGCTCTGCTCTCCTCTCCTCTCCTTCTTGGCCAACATTCCACCTCATCCCGGGAATGGTTCTAAACAAAACCGATACCGAGCTGGAGAGATTTGGCCAGACGATTGCAGCAACAGGCGGAGCGTGTTTATGGCCAAGTGAGTTATGTTTGCACACCTGCTGAAAAGTGGCAGTGATACAGAGGCCATTTTCGTGTCTGCCTGCGGCGACAATGTAGCCACTCTCGGATAAATCCGTTGACTTCAACTTTCTAGGTTTAAAAAGCATTACATATTTAATTTATTATTTTCCCACACTTTGCAGGGTAACATTTCATTAAAGTGCTAGTAATAAGTAAATATATTTCCAGGTGAAACTAGCTTCATTTTCCCCACCACCGCCGCCATGAAGTCAGCTGCAAAGTGTTTGCACACCAGATGGAAATGGAAAATCAAAGAGGTGGGCTGCTGCCTAACCATAAATCGCAGGTTTATTGCTTTCAGAACAAATAGAGCAATCGATCCCGAGAAGCCTCAGTAAATATTTCCCAGGCCACATTATCACTCTTTGATAAAGAACATTTACGTATGAGCATTTATTTATACCCGGGCCAGCGGGCAAAAAACAAATTTGTAGAAGACGGAGCGGCATGTATCATTGTTATTTTAAAAGATTTTCGAACAAAGCCAAAGCCAAAACGAAAGCAAAACCAAAAGGCAGCCCGAGAGCAACTGAACTGAACTGAAATGAACTGAACTGAAATACTGAAATGCTCACACCGAATTCGAGCAACGAAAATATTCGTAATATTGTTCAACCGTATTTTAGTGCTTGCCAAAGTCTATTTCATTTTCACTCTGCCCGCTGCTGGCTGTTTTTTTTCCTTCATTTTTTTATTTCATTTTCGGTTGGCAAAACTGTCCCCGCCCGCGTTTTCATTTCGAATCTTTTCTGTTCTTTTCTATTTTCCTTATTTCTGCCTTGGGCTAGATGGATAGAAAATTAAATAATAGTCCACTGACTGACGTCGATGTTGTTGATGATGATGTTTGTTGGATGCGTTTAGCATCTTGCATTGTGTGCTTTTTTTGCACTCTAATCAATTCGCACTGCACTCTCTCACACAAACACTTGCAAGCCTGCACAGACATGCACACACATGCACACGCACACACGCACACAGTGGCCACACTCACACACACGAAAGCGAACACGCAGCGTTCAGTTTTCGGTATTTTTAGCATATTTTTCGTACAACTCGCACTATATTATATAGAAGATGGCCGAGCCAGTCAACAGCAGCACATTCTCTAAATTGAAATTATTTATAGGTTCACATAAATTAAGTATTAACACCCAACAGGCCCGACTACTGTAGTTAGTCCGCCCCTTGCACTTTCGGCTTTTTTCGCTTGACACGATTTTACTCGACTTTATTTTCATTTTCTTTTTGTGGTCGCTGCATTTTCCTCTAAAGTGGCAAGTGGCAGGCGAAAAATGGCCAGTGACATCCTGGCAGCTCTTTGACCTATTGATCGCAAGGGATTTTTACTTTCGATTACTTGGCTGAGCGTGGTTTTCCCAGTTTAAAACACAGCTTAAGTGCAACAATTTGCAAGGATAGCAATTGCAAGTGTAAGACTGCAGTTAACTGCTTCAATTCAATTATATTCTTCAATTGACTTCTGCAACCAGCTCGTGACGTTCGTTAATCCATATTGTTTTATAACTTATTTAACGCAACGAAATTTTCCACTCACACACGCACAAAAGCAGAGAAACTCGGGCAATTTTGTTGAGAAAAAATATGTTAAATGGGAAAGGCGTGTGTGTGTGTGTGTGTGTGTGTTTTAGCCGCACCAACACACACACGTTAAAAATAGCAGAAATTTGAAAGTACTGAGGTTCGTTGAGTTCGGTTTGGTTTTGAGTTGAAACAGTTCCGTGCCTCGAAAACGCAGCCAATTCCAAAAGAACGCTCATCCGGTCAGCTGTTTGTTCGTATTTTCTTTGGAGAAGCGGATTCCGCTCCGGATGCGAATGTGCGAATGCGGATATCTAGAGCGAGCGGAACGAAACGCACGAGCGGCGGGCAGCGACTGGCAGCCGTTCGAGATCGGTATCCGTATGGGAATCGCGTAGTAACGACAGCCACACGACGGCGACGACGGGAGCAGCGAGTCCCCCGCAATGCCTCCTCGCACCACAGGGCGTATGCGAAACCTCTGCGGATGGGATGGCTACCCGTTGCGTATACGCCCAGTTAAACTAACTTTCTTGTGCGATTCCGACGCGACATTCGAGCGACACATCCAAACGCCAAACGCTTGCGAAGCGAAAAGAAATGCCCGCCACTGTCCACGGCATATGCAAGCTAATTCCGCTCCTCATTCCGCTCTTCCGCTCTTTCGCTCTCTCCGCGTTTCGTTGGAAAATTCATTTCAGGGATCCCTCGCTGAATTCATTCGAGCGACTGGAAAGCGACAGGCAGCAAGAGAGCGGAGCACAGCATCTGTCGCTTCTGCCATCTTCGCTCTCTCGGCCCGAAACAGCTGTTACATACCGGATACTTGTAGGCCAGCATGAGCAATATTTGGGCATAAAGAAATATGAATGAACGCGCGAATCGTGATCGTTGCCATGCACCCACCCATCCATCCATCCACCCATCCACCCATCCATCGCAGCTGTAGATCGCAGTGGTGTATACTCTATTCGCGCTGCTGTGTTCGCCTTGGGTCAGGTAATTGGCTGAATGACAGGCGTTTAATGTGCGGCTGAGTCACGACCTCACTCACAAAGATCTCTTGGGGCGAGACCTGGTATTAATAGGTGATAATTGAAAATGCTTTGCGGATAATATCGGTCATGGTTACTCCCGAACAGAGCTAATAGCAGGGCATGCACTTTATGGCCCAGTTGAAGTGCCCTGGCCAGTGGCCACTTAATATGCAGTCGACCGTCACATGTGCCCCACTTTCCTGTAAATGCAATTACCCCACATCTGGCCACGTCCCCCCCATTGGCAAGGAGCTTAGGGAAATCCTCCCCTGTCGCCGGCATGTGGGAAACGCAGACGCAAAGTAGCTCCTTTCGTGGCCCCCACCCACTCCATTCGCCTGTTCGCTGTACACGTCACAGGCCATTAACTGGAGTACACAGACACGCACCCGCCGCCAAGGGGAGTGGATGATGGAGCTGCTCGAAAGTAAACAGGTTATACAATTTCTAAATTAAAACACAAACAAGGGCCTGGAACATCATGTTCCATGCAAACGGCAGTTTGCATACTCTATGCAGCACCGAAAACATTCTACAAATTATCATTTGTAAATACTCGCAAGTAAGAAAAGCAGCTACACTTTTGCGCAAGCCCGAAAAGTACAATTTTAAAGAGGCAATGGGAAATCGATTCAATGGATTCTATTGTCTTAATGCAAATTCCCAACTAAAAGCAAATCAATTCCCTGAAAACAGCTGTCCGATCCAGAGAAATATCAATTTCCTGGCTGGTTGGCAGATTATGAATTTAAAATGCTCTTTTTAATTAGTTTTTGATTGCCAAGCATATTTGCGCTTTTTATTTTCGAATTCCATTATTTACGATATCTGTTCAATTTCGTAAACATTTAATTTGTTTTTATCGTTCTTGCTTTACGGACAGCCATTGCTCCGCCGTTCTGGCCAGAGATCGGAGATGGAAATCAGCAGCAGAATCACTTGTCTGAATCACCCAGTCTCCTGACCTCCGCTGGAAGTTTGACGAATGACGGAAGTCGAAACATGGAAACATTTTCCCGAGCCGAAAGCAATCCAATCCACAGGCAGTCCGAGTCCGAGTTGGAATCTTGTGGTCGGAGGAGATGGCAAATTGCCGGGGAACTCGGACACTGATAGGCAAATGATGCGCATCACGAGCGGATTTGATTGATGATATCAATCCCCCCATCAAAGCAGCCGGATACTGGCATGCTAATGGGTAACTTAAGCACAATTGAAGGCAGGAGAAAATCCTATAAAATCCTATTCTCTAAGGCTTGACCTTTTGACCAATTCAGTTGCAATGGGAAAATGTGCAAAATATATTCACTATTTATTTCCTCGCATGATGGACTTTGACTGAAATTTAAGAATTTTCTCTTAATTTTCCCAATCTTATTATTTTGTGAGAACTCCCAGGCATGTTCAAATCGGATTATCTCCGCTTAGCTTGTATTACATTTTAATTCCACTTGAATAATTAGTGCATACGAACTGATGTGTTTCAGAAGCACTTCCACTTCAAATCAGGCCGAGCGACAGGCACTTGGGAAGGACTTGACGGGTTCCCACAGCTGGGGGATGGCGAAATTGGATCGAAAGGGGCAGGGGGCTCCTGGAAATCCGATATATATAATGAAATATTCATATGCTCGTACATGTGGCGAGTCTGCCCCTCCCTTTTAGGCGCCTGTGAGTGTGTGCAACACTCATTGTTGTGGCAAATACAAAAGGATTGAGAACCAACACACATGCACTCACACGCACTCACGCACGACCATGCACTTACACTTACGCAAATGGCAGTTATGAGGGGGAGTGGTTGGGTGGTTGACATAATAAGAATAACGAGAACAACGAGCGACAGCAACTTGAGGCTGCTTCAAGTCAACCGACACTCTTAGGCAGGGAAATTGCTCGTCGCACTCACCCTGAGATACATCTACACCAGCGGGCGAAACAATAGTGGCTGCGTCTCCGAAAAGCGGAATATGGATACAGTGAAGAGAAGCTTTATGCTAAGAATAGTTCAAGCATTGTAATATTTGCTAAACTAAATGTTTAAGTTCTTGCGATACTCTTATTAAACCTGCCACCGCCACTAATCTTTCACCCCCAAGTGCGGATAGGGCTATCCTAAACCCCGGTGCTTCTGGATGGTCGCGATAAGCCAGAAAGTCGGGGGACAACAGCAATCGACATCAGCATCGACGTTAGGTGTTTATGGGATGTATTTATGCCTGTGGGTGTGAGTGAAGGCCGCAGGATTACAACAGCAACTAGGCATAACAATAACACTAAAACTGCGAGCCAAGCACCGCATCGTGGATGCTGCCAGTTGGGCCAGCAATTTGGCACAGATACGCGCACTCACAGATTTCTCCTCAGTCGAGAGTCTGGAATTTAAAATCCGGAATCCGGAGAGGTTCGGTGTCCTGCTGCGTGGCGACACCGATTGGAAAGTTCACAAGGGGCCACAGGAGGTGCAGCGGGAGGCTGAAACTTGTTTAACCAGCAGCGGCAACGGAAATTAGGTTGCTCCTGGGAGCGCTGTTACATAAGGTTCCCTTGTGTGGCTGACAGCAGACATAAATCTTGGCAAATATGCAAGTTGTTCCGCCCAGAATGAGCAACTAGGCCCAACAGGGCAGGGCACACGAGCCACCGCGTGGCAAGTCGAGCCAGGAGACAGGATGTGCAACAGGAGCGGTCCTGCCACCGGAGAAACAATACCCCAATCCGCTTCTTTGCTGCATTGTGCATCTGTTCCCCCGACAGGCCATTTGCATTAGCTTCTTTCTGTTGCCGTGCAGAAGATACATTTCGACCCAACGCGCCACACTGCAAAAAACAGCCGCGAACTGGTACTGGTGAACAGCGACTAAATAAAAGCAAACAGTTCGATCCCAGTGTTGCTTTAATACTTTCTTTCATTGCGTCTCTTGTGAACTCTGTGAGCTAACAAATCTGACCCAGTAGCCAACAGGACGAGAAATCTGAGCTAAGAGCAAACAAGAAAGCCGCGGAAACAGCCAAATGCAAGCAGACAACCCGTGGGCACACACTCGACTTAAAATTTCCTGCGCAGCGAACGAGCAAGGACACCAGAAGCAGGAGCTGCCAGGAGCCAGGAGGAGGAGGAGGAGGAGGAGGGTTGATGAAATGACAAACTGGAGACGCGCTTGGCGACGAAGGCGAACTGGGCAAAGAGCACACGGGATATCCGTTTCCGTCCGACAAGTGCTCCGCCCACCGCCCACCGCCCACACAGGCCCACACCAAAAGGTCGCACACAAATTTGCAATGAAGCGCAGTTCTAGTTAGCTTCCGGTATCCCCAAACCAGCCAGCAACACCAACACAAAGGACACATTCAAGTTTGCTGGCCGCATGCAACATTCAAATTGACATAAACAGCGAGACGAGCGCTTGATTGTGCGGCTTGTGTGACTGTTGCTGGCTATAAAAAGTGTGCACCACTCATCCAACCGCTCGCCATTCCACATACGCCGTGTGGTACCAGTACCAGCAGTAACAGCGCGGCAAATGACAAATACAGTGGAGCCTCTCACTCAGAAGATTATAATCTTAAGATCTGCCCCGAAAACGAATTTATAAATAATATTTGACTATGAAGATCAAACAAAAGATAATCTGTGTAGCTAGATCGAAAGAAAATAGGTACGGTGAAGCCATCGGAGCTCCACTGTTATTACGAGGATGGAGAAGGCGAACGCCGTGCCACACGACTCCCACTCCGCGCCCCAAAGTATCCGCGTGTGTGACGCAGACCACAAGGTGACTGAAGTTTGTTATTTCGATTACACAGCCAGGGAGATTGGGGGCTATTAGTCAATCTACTCACAGATCCTCGGGGCTCCGCCCGGCGGCTATGCCACATCCACTTTGCACCAGTGCCCTGCAATTGTCTCCGCGATTATTTTGGCTGCTATTTTTAGAGCCCAGTACCGCGGACCAGCAATTATCTGTGCAGTTATTTATCTATCCGTGGGCCAGCTACTTGTGGATTGCTTGTTGCTCGCACCTTAGCTCGCTACTGATTAATAATAAATCGCTCAGGTATTACTCATTCGCTGTTAATTGAAATTTCGTTGGTTCGATTATTGTTTACAGTTAGCATTGGGTTAGCGCTCCCGACCTCAGCGTTTCGTGTGTTATTTTTTATATATTTTATTGGGGGTTTTCCTTCTGGGGTTGGGGAGAGAGGTTAATTTGTTCTATTCTATTCTAGTTTTGTTTTTCTCGCGCGCGCGTTCGCGTTCGTTTCGTTTGAGTTGTTGGTTCGTTTCACACTGAGCTGGGGAATCATTGAAATTTCTGCTCAGGCGAGAAATGAAAATGTTTTTCGGCGGAGCAGCCGAAAAAACGGCAAGACACCGCTCTCAGCTGCACTTTTGGGGGCGGTATTTGTCTCGGGGAGGTGAGCGTATGAGGGCACCGCCGGTGGTCAGCGGGAAAGAGCTTTTCCGGCGCCCCCCACCCCTCCCACACTTTCCGACAGACCCCGGAGGTCGCACCTCAAAGTTGCCAGACTGGCGACGTGGCGTATGCGTAATGCGGGTTTTCCACTCTAGAACGTTAATTGCTTTTTTTCCTTTCGGGCTTGCCGACCAGTGGCTTATTGTTTAGCCAGCCTTAATTGCCGACGAGTCTCTGGGGACCCTGGCAGCCAA